ATTATTATTATTTATCAATATAATCTCTATATTAATTTTATTTCCAGTTATTATTAAATTGTTTATAATAAATACTTATTAGAAATCAGTTAATATCATACTTTGAAATCATTTCATAGGATTTTATAAATATTTATATCCTATATCAATTATAAAAAAATAATGAAAGAATCAATATTTTTAAGGAATACTAATCATATCTATGTTCTAGATTTCTACTTTTATCTCTCTCTTTTTCAAATTTATGGCAATTAAATTAAATTTATATTTTTCATATATGTTTTTTATAATAATTTGAACTTTTATTTAAATGTATTGAATATTTATAAATACCTTATCTTATAAAATAAGCATAAGGATTGATAATGAAATCAACTTATTGAATGAGATGCATTGAAATTTTAATCAGAATATATTTTTTAAGGGATATTAATTTATTCAACATAAAATCATAAAGTTGGAACTTTAATAATGAAAGAACTTTAAATTCTCCTTACATTAAAATCATTAATTTATCTGTAGAAATTATCTAACATTTATTATTTGATATTTAAATATTATGATAATAATTTATCTAATTAGTGAATTAATATATATTTTAACATGTCTGATTTATTACTATTTAACTTCCTGAATGTCTCACTAAGCTAACAAGGGATTTTCAGTAAAATTTAATTAACAAACTAACTTGAATTTTATGCTTATTTTTTATATTTGAAACCAATTCTTAAATTACTATGAAAAACTTTATTTAGACTAAATTGATTCTCTAATATCCCCATTATCTAATATCCCCATTGTTTGTCATCATAGTTTTGCAAAAGGCTTCTTTGTTTAAAATTATACAAAATATAGAAATAATAACAAAAATTTTAGTTTATATGAAAATCATGCTATCTCTATTAGACAATCTTTCGGTGAGAATTTCTGATTAACCAATGAACTAAATTGATAATTGACATGAAATATCAACATGAAATTACTTACTCAACAATTGTAATNTGCTCCTGATTATATAATGATAATAGCAAAACACTCTGTTGGTATTTTAGAACATAGTTCCACTCCCATTAAATATATAAGAGATATTTTGTAAATTTAAAATTATTATTATTTATCAATATAATCTCTATATTAATTTTATTTCCAGTTATTATTAAATTGTTTATAATAAATACTTATTAGAAATCAGTTAATATCATACTTTGAAATCATTTCATAGGATTTTATAAATATTTATATCCTATATCAATTATAAAAAAATAATGAAAGAATCAATATTTTTAAGGAATACTAATCATATCTATGTTCTAGATTTCTACTTTTATCTCTCTCTTTTTCAAATTTATGGCAATTAAATTAAATTTATATTTTTCATATATGTTTTTTATAATAATTTGAACTTTTATTTAAATGTATTGAATATTTATAAATACCTTATCTTATAAAATAAGCATAAGGATTGATAATGAAATCAACTTATTGAATGAGATGCATTGAAATTTTAATCAGAATATATTTTTTAAGGGATATTAATTTATTCAACATAAAATCATAAAGTTGGAACTTTAATAATGAAAGAACTTTAAATTCTCCTTACATTAAAATCATTAATTTATCTGTAGAAATTATCTAACATTTATTATTTGATATTTAAATATTATGATAATAATTTATCTAATTAGTGAATTAATATATATTTTAACATGTCTGATTTATTACTATTTAACTTCCTGAATGTCTCACTAAGCTAACAAGGGATTTTCAGTAAAATTTAATTAACAAACTAACTTGAATTTTATGCTTATTTTTTATATTTGAAACCAATTCTTAAATTACTATGAAAAACTTTATTTAGACTAAATTGATTCTCTAATATCCCCATTATCTAATATCCCCATTGTTTGTCATCATAGTTTTGCAAAAGGCTTCTTTGTTTAAAATTATACAAAATATAGAAATAATAACAAAAATTTTAGTTTATATGAAAATCATGCTATCTCTATTAGACAATCTTTCGGTGAGAATTTCTGATTAACCAATGAACTAAATTGATAATTGACATGAAATATCAACATGAAATTACTTACTCAACAATTGTAATAAATAAAATAAAATAAAATATTTAGTAGATGATTTTTGCTATCATTATTACTTTTGATAATTGGATAATAAAAGAAAATAATGTTTAATAATGATTAAAGAGATCATCATTTCAGAGTTTAAGAAAATACTATATTTTATGTTATTTCCTATAATTGTAATCTAAATCAAATGATTTATTGATTTGTAATATCTATATTAAAGAAAAGCTTATCTTATATAAATAGTGATAAGAAATGAGAATGAATAGTTAAACAATATATTTATTTATAAATATCAATATATATAAATATATTATAATTATACAAAAAAGTATTACAATCGCAGTCTAAATTCTAACTATTTCAAAATTTAACGTGGAGAAGATTAGTCTATGATGATAATATTGTTAATAAGAGAGAAAGATATATTATAATAAGAATTATAAGATAGCAACATTATTAGAGAGCTTTTGTTGGCAGTTTTATTTTAATATCTATTATGTTGTTATTTCTTGATTTGTAAAGTCCTTTGATAATATTTTAAAAATGTGGATTATCTTGTAAAATGAGGTAATGATGACAAAATCATGTTTAATTGTTTTAAGAAATAACAGATATTAGTAAAGTTGAGTAGAGGGTTGGTAAAATAATTTTTGATATATATAAAATTTTAGGTTAGATAAAATATTTCATTTTGTAATAGAAAAAATGAAAGTAAGTTTGAATTTATGAGTATGATAATACCTAACTTACCGTTTTATTCTGATTTATACTTATACCTAGTTTGGGTTTTAAATATAACTTAACAACATAAATAAATAATTAATTTATTTTTTAGATGATAAAGAAAAGGATTAGTAAAGATTAAAATAATTGTAAAAAATACAAAAATTCTAATAAATCCAGGAAATACTGGACAGAGGAAGAAGATAATATATTAAAATCAACTGTTTCAATGCATGGGTCAGATTGGAAACTTATAGCAGAGTATTTGAATGGACGAAATGCCAGTTAATGTGCTTAAAGATGGAAGAGAGTCAAGCCTGATACAGTAATAATAGATTAATACAATTTCTAGGAAGAAAAAAATTAAAAATGGACATCTGAAGAAGATGAAGAAGTTAAGAGGTTAACGAAAGAATATAAGTTTGATTGGAAGGTGATTGCTCGTTTTCTCTCTAATAGAACTGGAAGGCAAATTAGAGAACGATATATAAATCATTTAGACCCAAATATAAGTACTAAGGCATGGAGTTAATAAGAAGATTTAAAAATATGGAACTTATATAAAAAGATAGGTTCGAGATGGTCTGAGATGGCAAAGAAACTAAAAGGAAGACCAGTAATTTTTTAATTTATTATTTTTCTAGGAGAACATGATAAAGAATAGATTTTACGGATATATTAGAAAAAATTATGCTAAGCAAGAAAATCCTTACTATATTATACCAAATCAAAAGAGATAGCTCATTAAAGAGGAGGATCAAGTTGAAATGTTAAATAATTAAAATACTCTTGAAACAGGAATTGAAGATATTGAGCCACAAATCATGGAACAAATTTAATAAAATAAATCAATATAATAATAAGAAGAATAAGTTTAATCAGGCATTAATTCTATATTATAATCACTCTAATCTGATAAGTTAAATGTTAGTATTATAAGCAATCATCAAGATGTCCATCAATTGTAATTATTTCATAAAATGTTTATTGAATCATCAGAAAATGAGTTTTTAAAAGTTGACCATCACCTAGTTAATTTTTTATCAAACGAAAGCAATATTAATAGTTATGCTAACAGTCATAACTAATTTACATTCACTCCTTAAAAAGAAGAAGAGAATGATAACTTTATCAATCAATTTTTATAATTTGACGGTTCCTCTGTACCTGTACGAATGAGAGCCGATATATTTGAAGAATTTTCTAAATTCTCTTGATTTGAGTACTAAAAACCTCAACAATAGATTTTGATTATATATCGAGTCATTTAAATTATATTTATAAATAAAAAGTCAATTAAGTGATAGAAATATTTAAGTACTTAAAGCCATTCTTTAAAATGTCTATGTTCAAATATTAATTACGTTTCTTTTTAAAATTGCCTAAAATATATTTGAATTTGTATAAATAAAAATATATACATTTCAATAAAATATCACACTCTAATAAAAATCAAAGTAATTTAAACATTCTAGTGAGAGTATATCTGATAAAATTATATAAAATATCATTAAAATCAATTTCATAAATTTAGTGGCATAATTATCAAGATAACAAATTTGTAGATTAAAAAATACCAGAAAATTTATTCCCTTTATATTATAATTTTCTATTAAAATTCACCTGAAAAATAGAAGAATTTAATGAGATAATATGATTTTAATAAAGAAGAACCTCTAAAAATATCTTAACATCCTTTGAATTAATTAAAATGTTAAAGAAGTGTTAATTTTTAATTAATTCATATTAGATATACTATATTTATAAAGGTGGTGATTATCCTATTTATTTCTATGCAAAATATCAATATCTTCACATTTACTTACATTTAAAAAAAAATCAATATTAATAAATAAAGACAAAATCTCAAATATGCTATAAAATAATCACACAGTTAAAGAGCACCTTTAATCAAAATGATTTTGATTTCATAAAGAGAAAGGGTTTTTTAATTTTCAAGTATTAAATTGGGAATACCAAAAGAAGGCTATGTATATAGTATTTAATTTTATCATTTTTTTTGAATATTAAAGAAAAATATGATTATTTGTGATATTATTTTATTTTTTTAATGTCAATTTTGTTGATCTATATGGTAAATTTGAATTATTATTATTGATTTTTTTGCATATTCTTTTAAATGAATAATTTTCAAAAGCTGCTTGAAATAATTAAATAAAAATATTATTGATGAAATCATTCAGTAATTTATTATCATCTTTTGTTTCAAAGTAATACACACCCTTTTTACAAAAACTGAATAATTGTTCCTTATTGTAGAATACTCCGACCATCTTAATGACAGACATATTGTATTTGATTGAATGCTTCGAAGGATTTGGTCCAGAATGCAAAGGAATTTAACCAACTGGGCAAGAATACTTACAATAATTTTTCAAAGTGATTAATAATAAAAACTTGGATGGTTTCATTGGAATTAAAATAATTCTAACCATTCATTTAATTCTATATGAATTTTAAATAGGAGATTCCATTGCAGAATAAATGATAAAAGAAGGATCAGTACTTCATGTCTAATAAAATCAATAATTCAGTAGGTTTACTTAAAATTATCTGATGTATTTGTTGAAATTAGCATAAAATTTAAAATTGTTTTATGCTTGTAAAATAGGTTAGTATCCTATTTTTGATTAAGATTTAACATAAATGTAATGTTAATAAAATACAAGAGATCAACAATTTTAATAATTTTAAATTTTGAATAAAAACAGTAATTTTAGAGATACATAATTGCAATATCGGAATTATCAACAAAAGAAATTAGAATTGAATAAGCAATAATCAACAGGAAGTATTACGATAGAATAGAAAATAATATATTTATTTAAATTGCACAATTTACTAAATTAATGTATATAGGTATAAAATATATGTATAAATACATTAAAATAAATAGAAAATTAAGATTCCAAAAATATTTTCATTGAATTAAGTTGTGTTCTTTGGAATGATTGCATGTTGATGTACAAATTTTCTTCATAAGAAGTATTATTTTCATATGATAATTTTAGTTATGCAAATTCCTTGATTCTTTTCGATAATTACCATCATAATAATTACTTTAAATTCAATAAATATATTTAGTAACTATAAACTCTTCCACTTAAATCAAATAATTATATCAAGATAGAAATTATTTCGATTCTTAAAATATTATAAAATAGCCATTTTGGTTTGAGGAAAATAAGTAATTATCTTAAGAGATTCAAAATAGAATAATTGATAATAAAATGTAACAGATACCTGATTCAACAAGAAAGATGAATAAAGTATTAACTCCTTAAACATAATAAAACTAAATATCACCAACTAATATTGCTTAACCATTCACTTCAAGAATAGGGAATTCTGAAATCTCTACAAAAACCACTATATTTTCATAACCATATTTCATTGCTAATAAAAAATTTTAACAATAAACAAAACAGTTAGAAACTTAATAATCTACAAATAAGAGAATAAAAAGTCATTTTGGAAGCATATTCTCTGACGAATAATTAATTATATCTCCAAAAGAATCTTCAAAATTATAATAACAATTATGATTAGTTGATTAAATACTTTATTTAGATTGTAATTAATCAGATAATTTATCATTATAAGAAAAGTCTGACAAATTAATTAGTATGATTAAAATGTTATCTCTGATTAGTTAGACAATTCTCATGTATTTTTAATTCAATTTCACTAAATATTAAAGATTCTTATCAAGTATACAATTCAACTTCATAAAGTATTTCTTAATTTTGTTGTATTGATTCCATCACTGTATACTCTCTTCTTTTATCAATACATTTATGATTTTCATTTTGAACTATTATTTTTTAATTTTGCATTAATAATCTCATGGTGTCTTCTTAAAAAATAAATTGAATTTATCAAAAATTATTTATAATTAAAATTGCTTTGCCTATATAAATTCTTCTAAATCTTTAAATCTTTGAAAAATACTAATATTAAAATTCATAGATTTAATTTATATTTATAAACTTCTTATTAATATTCATAATTTTGACGATTAAACTATATATAATTATTGAAGCTTGTTTCAATATAAATTTAAAAGTTTTTAAAAAGTTCTTCATTTTTATTATTCTTATAATAAATAGAGTGAATATAGATTCTTTAAAAGATAGTATATTGTTTAATTTATAAAATATTTAAATTTGATCATTAAAATAATAAAAGTGAGGTTTACATGTGTAATAAGCTATTGAAAATTAATGAAATAATGTAATATGAAATGATTGATAAAATAGTTTAGTTGAATATATTTTTCTTAATATATTATTGGTAATGAACATTGTTTATATAACAAATAGATTTGATTTTACAATTCTTGGAGGTTTATTTTTTTATAATAATTTAACAATAATATTGTTATAATTTATACTTAGAAATAATTATTATAAAATTAATATCCTCTTAAAGAATTGATTTTCAATATATTAAAGCATTTTTTATTTTCATTCTTCAAAAAAGAATACTTGAGCTAAAGAAATATTATAAATCATCTTAATAATACTACTGGAAATAAAATTATGATTTATAATTTTATCTAAAAATAAGTCTAAATTACATAAAATATAGACGTAATTCATAAGATTTAATAGTTTTTGGGTTTTATTGACTTAATACAAGTTAAAATAACTTAATTGTTTGCCAATATTTAATTATTATTTCAGATAGAATAAGTACATAATGAAAATAATTTATTAAATTCTTCTAATCTAAAAATCATTGAGCAGATAGAATATTGAGATGTAAATTTAAATACGGTCATCTTTTATTTGATGAGACAATAATATTTATAAATGCAAGATTCTATTCTTAACTTTGAAGATCATTCATATAATCATCCATCAGAAACATTACCTCAAATTTAAGAATAAAAATAAAAGAATCCTAGTGAAGCTAAAAATATACCTAAAAATATAGGTGGACTCTTAAAAAATCATTTCGGTATTATTTTAATCTAATAATGTAGTAAATCGATGTTTTCCCTAAGTAAAGGATAACAAAGTTATTAAACATTTCATCTCTTTATAATCAAAGAAAAAAAATTATTCAAGAGAGGACATCAAAAAGGTATTGGAGAACAAAGAAGCTGCAAATATTGCAAAGAAATACTTTGCAAGCTTCGAAATTATAGAAGACATCCTTCATTCAGAAAAAGTACCAGAAATAACAACTTTATTAAAATATATCAGAAAATTTTTTATTGCTTCCTATTATCCAGAGACTCTATCCACACTTAAATTACCAGAATGAACTTTTTATATATACTTTTATGACTTTTGCCTCCATTTTTATAATAAAATCAATATATATTTTTTCAGTTCAAATAGAATATTGAATATTTTATAAATCTTTTTAATTAAATACGAAATTAAAATAAATAAATTAATATTAATAATTGATAGATTCCTTATTAAAATCATCTTTCGAATATAATAGATTTTGAATTATAGCTTTCAAAATACTCCTTTCAACCTAGATATATCCTCTATAACTATATAAAACTTTGTATTTATATAATGTTCTTATTCTATATTATAATTATTTTTTTCAATTATATTCTGAAATTGTAAAAACTAAAATTATTAGTATTATAAACTTTAAATATATAGATATTATGTTCTCTTAATGTATTAAATATACTAATTTGAATTATTATTTATTTTTATTTCATAATATTGATAAGAAATTTCAATTCTAGCCAACATTAAATGAAACCTTTAATTGCTGAAATTAATATATGTGTTGTTAATTAACATTATAATATATATATATATATGATGACTTATTAATAAATTTTTCAAATAGGTTCAAATACTTATCCATATTCATTTACCATACTAATATAGATATCTTTTTTAATTGTATCTTTTCTATTTTTCAATCCCTTTTTGGCAGTCATTTTCAATATTTTTTATTCAATTATTGCTACTTCTGAAATACAATATAAATTGACTAATAAAGAAATCAAATCATCTAAGAATATGTATCCTTGCTAATTAGAATCTTAGAGTAAATAAGCTATTTCAAGTTTGTCATGTTTTCTACAATTTGTTTAACCTAATAAAGTAAGAAGAGTATTTTTTAAATTAACTATCTAATCAACAATTACATTATCTGAACTTTTAACATATTCTTCTCTAACAGGATTTTCATTCATTGAATTAAATAACAATTTTGATTGGTGATCTTTAATATTGTTTTATTTTTACTATCTAATATATCAAGATAATGAATGAAATCCTCATAGGTACATGATTCCATAATATCAAGCTTATTAATTTTTTCAAAAACATCCAAGATATAAGCTTGATCAATTTTCTTCTCTTTTACAAATCTAATTGCATTATTTTTTCTTTAAAACATAATATCTCTTTAACTTAATGATGACTTTTATTTAGTTTATTAAGTTATTTAACCTTCTTCAGATCGGATTACTTTTAGATTCTATCCAATAACTTATCTCTATTTCTTTTAGGATGCTATATTGTTTATTGATTAGAACATAAGTTTGGATTATTCATCTTAACCAAATCTTGGACTAGTTAATTCATTCTTTCTTATTTATTCAACCATTTGTGGTGTTATTTTACCTTTTCTAGCAACTTCTTGAACTTCTTTTTCCATCATAGTCTAATTTATTTGTGTACGCTTTTCAACTAATTCCTTAGTGGGTGGATGAGCTTAACCTAAAGTTGGCAAAGACCATCCTCCAGCTAGATTTTTAAAATCTTCAAATTTTACTTCTCCACTTCCATCTTTATCACACATTCTTATCATTTCTTCAATTTCTTCAGAAGTTGCCTTTTCTCCTATAAAATCCAAGAAGAATGATAAATCTTCAGATGTTATTCCACCATCTTTATTCATATCTAAAAAATTAAATGCTTCTTTAATTTCATCTTCTGTAAACATACCTCTCACATAATCATATTATTAATTTGATTCTTCAATCATATATTTAGTATAGCCTGGTGTTATTTTTGATTAATCACTAGGTCCTGTCTTCATTTTTTATGATTGTTAATCATCTTGATATCTGAATTGAGAACTCATAGGTATTGATTGATAACTGCTTGCATTAACCATTACTTTAGGTATTTAATTAATTTAAGGAGCCTTGAATTATTTAAAATCAACTGAATTTTATGGACTACCACCTCCAGCTTCTAGATATTCATTTGATACATAGGAACTCTTTAATTTTTACTCAGTATCATTAGATTCTTATTATTAAAACATTTCCTGTTCTTCATTTTATTAAATAATCATATTAATTATATAATATAGAAATATATCATGATTCAATTTTTAATTGAATGGCCTATTTAGAAATTCTTTATCTAGGAAATTTAGGAATTAATTTAGGAAAAGTGCCTTAGCTTTAAAATGTTTTGGGCAATTTACTTAAAGTATTTGATAGAATGTTTGGAGGTATCTATGGCAATTCAAATGTAAGAGTTGGAACAGATTTTGAGGGTTTAACTTCTGATTCTGTTTTTTTTCTTTTAAGAAATAAAGGATGTTCTTTTGAATCCTTATTTCCTTCAGTTTAAGGTACAAGTAATTCTTCAATTTATTATTCACTTAATATAGATATGGAACCATTTAACTTTTATAAAATGGAGGATGAGATAGAATGATTCATTGTAGTTAGATGTTTAGGTACTCTCTAACTTAAGAGACTATCATTCATATTTAATAGATTATCATTTTACTATTAAGATCTATTAGTATATTAGTTTTATTATTATTATTGTTAATAACTTGAAAGACTCATAGTTTTATTTTAGAATGTATTATTATTTGATGAAGTGCTAGTAATTTATTAGTATTCTATTTTAGTCATTTATACATTTTATTTTTATAATGTTTATTATAATTAAATTGGGTCTTTGATATCCATTAAAGGAAGCAATCTATCTTTTTTCTTTTCTTATTTACCATCATTAAATGTTACACCTTCTTTCATAATAATTAAATCAATTTATGGTACAGATGTTTTGATGGCAAATTAATTATTTTATCCAATATTTTGATTGTTCTTACTAGTTAATTATATTAGTTCTGATTGCATTTTATGATTTGGTATAAGATCTCTTACTTCTACTAAACTACGTTTTTCACTGATATTTTAAAATGATTTTGGATATCTATCAATATCTGGTGGTTTTTATACTACTACTTTACCTTCATAATCAAAAGTATATTTAGATTTGGAATCTACATTTAATCTTTTCAATTATTTGACTTACTCTTATACTTCAAGTATTTTAATTTTATCATTCTATTCTTTTTATTATTGAATTGAGATTTATCTTAGTTTAGCCTATCTAATGCTTTCAATATTAGGATCAAATTCTTATTCTTCTTCTAATTCACCCATTTTTATTAGCTGAGAATTAAAACATTCACTTTGTCTAGATGTTTTCATTGTCACCAATTTAGACATTCTTTTTGTATCACTTCTTCTAATTACAGGAGATTTTGAGTTTTCTCTAGATGTAACTTATTTGACTTGACCTTGACATCTTCTCCAATGTTCTGTGTTTACAGCTATAGGTTCAGAGTCTTCAATTACATTTTCTTCAAAATCATCATTTCTTAAATTATATTCATCCATCAATACAATAACTTATTCTCTAAACCAATTGTATCCTAGTAAAGGTAAAATTGAGTTGATGTGTTTATTTACAATGATTGATGAACTTTCATGGATTATTTATTTGATAATGCTTTTAGTTATCGTCTATGATTCAACAATTGAAATACAAAGATCTTCATAACATTATACTTATTCCTCCATTAGTAATTTAGAATTATAATTATATTGATATTAAATATAAAACAAATAAATTAAACATCAATTGTTATTTTTCAAGTATTTTTCTTCTAAATATGCATACCTTCTAAGTTCCTTCTCCACCCAATAAGGACAGTCAGGGATTGAAACATCAAGAATATATTTAATAAGTAATAATATATGTTCTATTGCAGCAAGGAAAAATGCACTAACAAGAGCATTTTAATTTCCAATAATTCCCTTAAATTATTCCTTATTAACAGTTCCTATAACTATACAATTCATAAATGTAGCACAATAATTCATTATTTCAAAAATTTACAACCAAATTCCTATTGAATCTGCAGCTTAAGCTCTTTCTCTTTTCAAAATATGTTGATAATTGTAAATTGACCATCTTAAATTGATATAACAATTTATCATAAAAAATAAAGGAGCAGCTGGAAAAGTAGGTGCAAACATAGTTGTATATCCAAATTATATTGCAATACTTGTGTATTCATCATAAAGAACTTTTTATGGTTATTTAATTCGACCTATTTCTAATTCTTAAAGAAATGATAATTATATTTCAGAATTCAGTTTATCATTGCTGAATTTCGAATTACAAATATTAGGAACTTATTTCTTTTCCTCTAATTTTAATGTAAATATTCTTTTGAATTCTTAAAACTTTTCTTCCAATATTCTTTTCTCTTATTTAAACAAAAAGTAAGGTAAAAAATTACTCTTCACATTTGATATCACCCCTCTAGTTATTATTATACTAGCTACTGATACACTTAATTAAGAAGCATCATTCTCAAATATTGCTACATAAACTACTGATACATATGATATTAGAAATTCAAATAAAAATACCTTCAAAATGTATGAGTATTCTTATTCTGATTCATACATATGATTTTCCCATGTTACCAAAGATGTACACAATCTTTTGTATAAATCACAAAACACTGTCATCGAAACTCCATTTAATGAATTAATCACTATTGGCATTATTGCATTATCTTTCCATTCTTATAACCAAAGATTAAATGCATAAAAACTTAATACAATAATTGCTATTCCTATTAAAATTACAGGTCCTTCTGCAATTAATCGTCTCTTAAATGTAGTAAAGTAATCATATATCTAAATCTTATTTGTAGCCTCATTTATAATATATTAACCTGTATACATCACTCTTTAAGGTTATGTTTGTCTAAATTTATGCATATCCCAACAAAATTTCAATTCAGATTCTCTATTTTTCCACTTTTCCATAAATAATGTAGACCAAAGTGTCATTAATAATGCGTAAAAAGGAACTATTGAAGAACTAATATATTCCCTTATTATTCATACTTCACTTCCTCTGTTATAATGATATAAATTCCTAAAGCTGCTCCGAACACTGATGGAATCATCAACCAACCTATTATTTGTACATTTAAGGCTATGTACCATGCAACAACTGGGCCAAAATAAGAGGCAATAGCATGCAATGGTCTTAATGCAATTTATTATGTTTCATATCGAATCGAATCTTGAATACAATTATTTTGTTATTCATCCCAAAATTAGGTTATCTTTTCACATTTTTATATATCCTCTAATGGATAATGGGAAATTATTAATTTTTCTAATACAAATTTATCTACATCAAATTCATCATTTAGTGTATTTAATATTAACATTTATACTTGAAGGTCTTTTGGAAATTCAAAAAAGCCTCTATTATCATAATTGAATTAACATATATACTAAAATAAAAGATCTAATTTACTTTAGTTTAAAAGTTGTAACATGATATCTAATATAAATCTGCTAATTTATAAATAGAATCAGGTGGTAATTTTAATACATAATAATGATAAAGAGATTTAACTTTTTTAGCTTAAGCATTGTCATTGTACATTTCTAATTTATCAAGATTTGGAGCATGAAATATCATAAATTCAAAACTCCATCCTCTATCTCTAAAGGTTTGTCTTATATTTTGTAATTATAGATATACAATATCTTATTCAACACTTAAAGTGCCTTTAGTTTAAATTACATATTAATATCCTAATTCAGTTAAACTACTCATTTATTATTTAATTTAAATGTTTTCCTTATAATACTCCATTATATCTTGATTAAAAGTTAATTCAAAAGGTTTGAGACATCTACTATTTACTGTATCAACAGATACTCCATGTAAAATTAAGGTTTTCATGCATTTATATTTTTCTTATTCTATAGCTAAATGTAAAGCATTTGATGGATTTTAATCTGTCAAAATATTAATACATTCTTTCTAAAATATAATAACAATATATACTTTATCAAATATTTAATCTTTTATTTATTTTTTATATTTTTGATTATTTTCTTCAGAATAATCATAATATTCATAATCTGCTTCTAGAATTATTTTTAATATTTTAAGTTTTCCTTTGAAAGCTGCAATGTGTAGACAATTAAAACCTTAATAGACATTGACAAAAGGATTGCATCTTCTTTTTAAGAAATATATAAGAAACTCTGCATTACCTTGTCTAGCAGACCAATATTGTAATCGACATTCATAAATTTCATTTTTTGTTAAATAAGCTTTGCTATGATAAATATAAAACTTTTCTTATTCTTTTAAATCAATTTTTTCCAAATAATCTTCATTTTAAGATTTGAATCTATTACTTTTATGACGTCTTCTATGATCTAAATTTTTTGGAGGTGAAGTTTCTGAATTAAATTATAAAACAGGAGGTTCTGCTATGATTATATTGCATTCATCTGCTTTAAATTGATTTTCTTAATTTTTTTCAGTAATAAGTTTACATGAATTGGAGTTTCTTTGATTTTAATTAAATACTTTAATTTCAGGTATTTTCTCTTCTTCAGGTTCTTTCATTTCAATTCTAGAATCATCATAAAGAGGAACATCAGCAATTTCATCTAAATTTTTTGATTATATCTTTTTGCAACAACTTCTTTATTGAAATTTAATTAATATTTATTAACTTTGTGTTGGATTTTAACTACTTTTAGGTATAGTATTTTTAGAGATGAATGAGTTTGATGTTTGACTTTTATGATAATTTGATATATTAGAATATGGTATCCCATTTTTAGAAGGTTCAGATTCTGGTGTTGAATCATCTTCTTTTATTTATGTTTAAATTAATGGAAGTTAACTCATTACTACTGTAGCTTAATGTTATTTTCCATCCCTTAATTATCTATTCTTTTTCTTTTTAGGTATTCTTAACTTTTTCTTCTTTGGTTTTCTATTTAAAGTTTATTTAGTTGTTACTTAAGCATAATTAATGACAATATTTTCAAATATATCACTAACTTCTTTTCTTATTGTTTATATATAAAATTATACTTATATTAATCAGGTCTATTTTCTAAAAACAAGTAATCTATTGGATAATTGCCTTATTAATCTGTTTCTAATTAAAGTTAAAATTTCTTTGAAATTAGAAAATCTACAAGTTCTTTGTTTCCATAATAAAAAGCCCAATGTAAAGGATTTGGCTTGGAAGTATTTGATTATGGAATTAAAGAACCATGTTCAAGCAATAATTTTATTGTATTTTCTTGTTATTCTGGATTATATTCACCAGAATACCTTTAGAATAAATTGTTATATAACATACCCTTTGATGCTTGCTAATTCTAAGGGAGTGTAAGAATGCATATCACCTTTATTTAAGTTAATCATCAATTTGTATTTCTTACACCACCACTTTAACAATTTATATTATCCCAAATAAGCTGCCCAATGTACAACATTTCTTTTTTAATCATCAACCATTGCAAAGAAGTCTGATAATTTATTTTAAGAAAACTTCAACTCATCCTCGAAATGTTTCTTCAAAGTTACTTTGTTTCCATCCTTTACCCATTCTAATAATTAAGTTTGAGTTATTTACATATATATATATATATTAAATAATCGAATATTTATTATAAATAACTTATATTATATAAGAACTAATTCAGTTTACTTAAGCATAATTAACAGAATATACTTTAACAATTTATGAATTAATAATAAGAATAAGACATTTTTTTAAGATTTAAATAACATCATTATATATATATTTATATATTAAAAATCATTGATTTGTAAATATTATAATTAAAATAACAAAAATGCTAACAAAGTTGGTTAGTTTGGGTAAAATCAACTCAATGTGCTTCAGATCAGTCTATCAATACAATTTATTTGGTGCACCTTTTGAAGGATTAGATCCAGCAAAACACATCTACATGAATAAAGGACTCTAAAATTGTATTATTTTGAATCAAGTTTTCTAGAATATGATGATCTCTTTAGATTAGGAGATTATCCATATGTGAATGATTATCCTGTTATGATCGATTCCCAATAGTATGTACCATAAATTGCTTAATTGGTGGAATCTCATGTTAAATAGAAATTCGTAAGACTTATTAACTATAACAGCAAAATGCAACATTTACTGCTGGTGAATACGATAATGGTGATGTGTGGGCAGCAACTTGGGATGAGCTTGGTGTCAATAATTTCAAAGTTTTGGTTCCAAATCTTTTATTAAGACTCTCTGAATGTAATACTAATTAAATTATATTATTTTAGCTATTGTTGTCAAAGAATCAAAATGGACATGGACAAAAGAATAAAGATATAGATTACATGTGACTTAAACTGTACTTGGTCCATAAGATTATACATAAATGCCTACTTACTATTTCATTAATGATTACAACACTGTTCTTTGGATGTTAGCAAGATAATCAAACAATTGGACATCTCCAGCAATTAGAGGAGTTTAAACTCCATTAGAGAAATAATTGGCTTAAGATTTACAACCAAAACCAAAGATTTAATCATTATTCAGAGACAGACCTGAAAATAATACATTCTTAAATAGATTGTTAAAAGCTGTTCATCAATGAATATCAATAAAATAAAAGCATATTACAGTATTATTTTTTATTATTTTTGCATCACATTTAATTAATATCTTCTCAATTTTAAATTACATTAAAACTAACAATATTTTATTATAAATATTATGAAACCATAATATTTACTAATATCTTAATAAATTATTATTTATCTAAATAAATTACAAAATAATACCTATCTATAATAATATTATTTATTCTATATGAGTTTAATTTAATTGAATAGTTTGCAAGACCAAGAATACTTTTAATCTATCTAATTATAATCTCTCTCTTATCATGTTTTCAATATAATTTTACCAAAAACAATAAATTAGAAACAACTCAAAATAATAAATTTAATTTAATTTGTAAAATATTTTATTTGATTTTATTACTTTAAGATAAGATAGACATATATAAATTCAAAATTCAAAATTAGTTTGCAAATCTTGGATTAAAATTTAGTATTCATTATCATTTTTTTCATTTTTTTGATAATTACAATTAATTTAGCAATAAAATATATCCAAGTTCTCAATTCTAAATAATTTGATTTAAATGCTAAATTCAGATAGATTAAAATTAAAACCATATTGTACACTCTATTTTTAAATTAATTATTATATTTACTTAAAATGCACTAAATTCAAGTTGGTATTTCTCTTATATGTATTTTTATAACCCTTTGATAAATAATTTAGGATGTTTACAAGTAATAAACTATAAATTATATGGACCTTAAAAGGTTTCAATACCATTGTTATCTTATAATCCTTATTTTTGAATTTATTTTTAAACTACTTGACTTTTATAGCTATTGAGTCTAAGAGTAAAGGTATCTACAATTGTTTTTGAATCTTCAAATTGTATGATATTATTGTCTTCAATTATTTATTATTATATTTGAAATGATTATCTTTCAATTTAAACACTTGCTGCTTATTTTTAATGAAGGGTTTTTTTATTTGAAGAAATTAGATTAGTAGGTTATTTTATGGAACTTTTAAGTTAGTTTGATGTTTTATTTAATAACTATTATTATTATTATAATTATTATTCTTATTACTATTATTTATATGAATTAGGTTATGTTTTTAATGAATGAGATTTTTCTTTATTTTCTTTAAATTACTCTTATATTGCACTCAATTTTGGAGGAGGATTTGAATTCTTTTTTGGTATTTCAGTTTTCATTTAATGACTTATATGAACAGAATTATTGTTAGAATATGCAGTATTAGTTGATCTCATATTTGATGTATTAGTTTGTTTCATGAATTTATTTTCAAAATTAGGAGGTTCATGTAAAGATTTTGATGGTACTGTTTTAGTATTAGGTTTTTTTTAGATAATAGATTATTGTTGTTATTAAGTAAGTACTGGTTTTTTTGATATAGGTTTAGTACTTTTGGTTTAGGATGTTTATGATATTTAAGTTGTTTATTTATTAGATTATAAAATGGTTGGTTTTTAAGGAGATTCTACTTATGTCTAAAGATGTTTAATCGATTATATTGATCTACTTGATTTTTATCTTGTTAAAGATCTAACTGATTATTGATAATCATAAATATCTTATAAATCTTGTTATTCTGAGTCTTTTTACAATTCATCTAAGTCATTCACCAATAGTTCTTTCTAATCAATCAATTTTTCTTGTTAAGTATCTTCTTAAATCGTTAATTTATTATTAGAATCTTATTATTCACAAAGTGGAATTTTATTAGATTCTTAAACTATATCACAACAAGTATTTTCAACTTCTGTTATATTTTAAGAAAGACTAGAATTAAGTGAGGGCTTGTAAATACTGTTTGGTAAAAGAGTATAAGTGATTTAATTAAAAGATGCTTTAAATGGAGAAACTTAAACATACTAAAGAATTATAATAGATTAGATTTACATCTGATTTCCATAATTACCACCACTTATGTGTTTTAATTTATTCTATATTATATCTCTTGTTAGGGTCTACTGTGAGGATATTCTTTATTAGATCTTTGCCATCTAATGAAACATATCTGGGGATATGGAAGTCTGCTGTCAGTATCTTTTTATATAAAACTTAAGTGTTGTTATCTTCAAAAGGTAGATATCCACAAACCATAGCATAGAGTATGACTCCACAACTCCAAAGATCTGTTTATAATCCATGATATGGTTTCCCTTATATCATTTCAGGTGCTGCATAACAAGGACTTCCACATGCTGTTTTCAAAGTTTCTTCATATATGTTGCTTAAACCAAAATCTACTACAAGGATATTCTTTTTTGCAGTTAACAATAAATTTTCTGGCTTTAAATCTCTATGAACTATTTTCAATTAATGTATGTATTATATTGCTGATATTATCTCATGCAAGAATTTACAGGCTTCAACTTCATTAATTCTACAATACACTTTCTATCAATTAAATACCTTTTCTTTTAATCTATATAATCAAACAATTCTCCTCCCTCTGCATATTCCATGAATAAATAAATGTGTGTTTCAGTTTCGATCATCTAATTATAATTATTTAAATAACCTCATAAAGTTGAACAACATTTGGATGATGTAACATTTATAAGATCTTGATTTCTCTTTTAACTCTCTCAATATCCAATTCATCATGAATTCTGTTTTTTTCTAAAATTTTAACTGCAACCTCATGTCCTAAAATTTAGTGTTTAGCATGACAAACTTTTCCAAAGGTTCCTTCTCCAATTGTCTTTCCTAAAATTATAATTGTATTTTTATTTTTATACCTATCAGATAATTACCTAATTCTGTCATAATAAAATATTAATGTCTTATTTAAATTCAAATATAATAGATATCTAATCTACACTTTTATGATTACTTTTAAGTTCTATTATATCACAAAATCAGAAATTAAGATTTAAATATACATAACATTAACAAATAATGCCATTATTATTACAAATATCATTTAATAAAGTTTAATCTTATTCATAATGAATCCAATAAATATTATCAAATAAAACTTCGATAGGATTTAATATTAAAACAAATATTATTCTATAAAATCAGGTATTAATAATAAGCTTTATTGAATTTAAATGTAATCAATTAATTCATAATTTTATTTATATATATATATATATATTCTAATCTCATATTATAAAATAAATAATATGAATAATTATAAAATTAAGAGATTCATTTTAATATTCTTAAAATTTATTATATATAAAAAGCATAAAGAGTATTGATATACTTAATAATTTCAATTTTCATCTTAAAAATCCATTTCATTATCAATCAAAGAAGTTTTGACTAATATTATAGCTTTTCTTCTGTAATTTCTTCTAGCATATACTTCTGTAATGCTTTATGAAATAGTTTATTATTGATTTGTATAATCATCAATTGATGCCATAGTTAAGTTATCTAAATTATCTAAGCTGTTTTGATTGATATTATCATTATTGTTCTCAAATTGATTTATATTTATTGTTTCGATCTAATTGTTTGAAGTATTAACTATTGAGTTTCCCATTGTTAAAATAATAAATTATTTATCTATTTTATCATCCTACATCACAGATTTAATATAAAAAATTTGTAACTTCAAATTTACATTTAAACTACAATAAATGAATTTTCTTTTGCATGAAAAATTTATTAAACATATTGATTAGAGGAAATAATTTAAATATGTAAGTAAAAGTATATATTTAGAAGAAAATATAAATCAAAAAGCTTGAATAGTCGATTTATCATTTTTTGATAAGTCCAATTAAAGTTTGTTAAAATTGATATTGTTCATCAGCTTTCAACAATGTTGTTTACTTAGAATTTCTTTTTTTGGTAAAAATTATATCTTGAATCTTTATCTATTATTATTATGATAACTATTTGGAATTTGTCAAAGGAGATAAAGGTTTTGAAAAAGTTGGAGGTGATTTTGTAATTTATTATTTTGATTGATCAATGTCTTATGTTTGCTTTTATAAAGACCTTTTTTTGTTATTTTTCGAATATAATCGATTTGATTAGTGTTTCTAAATAGAGCATCCCATTCTGTTCTTTAAATTAATTTACTAAAAATATTAGAATTTATATATCAAATTTAATAATAAATTAATACTTTATACTAAAAAATGATCCAAAAATAGAAGAATCTGATATTAAATTAACATACAATATGGAAATATTTAAATTTAATATAATTTATTTTATACAATTAAAACTCAATACTAGTTGAAAATGTTAGTATCTTTTACTTATGTTTTTCTCTATGTTTTAATATTGTTAATTTACTCTTTAATTTCCTTTGGATTATACTAAAATAAATAATTATATAAATTATATACTCTCTTTTTTTTCATTTTCTAAATCTTTTTATGTATTTATACACGAAACTATTATTTTTCTTATTTATTTTAAGTTTATTCTTTGTTTTATGTATTTTTTCTTGGCCTTTTTCCTTTTTATGAGAATTATTATTTTTTTTGAATTCTCTAAAAAGCATTTTTGGCATTATTTAATTCTTTTCCTTCTCTTTTAGTTGTTTCTGCTGCTTTCTTAATTCTAACTTCTCTTCCTTTTATTTCTATAGTTTATGCTTAAAGAGCCTTCTTTAATGATTGAAATTCATTAAAACTAACATATCCAAAACCTTTTCCAACATGTCTATAAGGATCTTTAATTACTCTAACATAATTAATTTATCCAAAGGCTTCTTCAAATGCTTTTCTAACTTCTTCTTCTTCTATATCAAATGGCAAATTACCAACAAAGGCTGTTTTAATGTGATCTTTCTAAAAATTGAATAATTAATTTACTTTCTTTTATCCTTCTAAGGTACATCTTAAATGTAGATTCATAAATAATTGACCATCTTATTGTGTTGCAGATTTAGCAGATTTAGCATCTTTAAATAGGATATAACAATTCTATGATTAGGCTCCTTCTTAAATTTTGCCCATCAATACAGCAGCTCTAACTGGTAGTTTAACATTTTCCTTCTTGGTTGCTCTATCAACAGGTATTGATCTAAACCAAACTTTTTCAATCTAATTATTTTTTATTGATACCTCTCCATATTAAGTGAATACTTTTCTAATATCATTTTTTTTAGCATTGATGCTCACATTTCCTACAAATAAAGTTCTTCTTATTCTATCAGCATCCATTTATTCTTTATCTTCTTGAGTTTATTTAAGTCCTTATTCATTGTCATCTTCTAAATCAACGTTATTTTTGGATTTGGATTCCACTTACTTTTCTATTATCTCTATTTGCTTTGAAAATAGATCATTGATTTAATTCTTTGTTTATTTTCCAGAAGTTAAAATAGATGAAAGCATATAATTAATTATGGTAATTAATACGAATTTTAGAGTAAACAAAACTTTATAATTAAATGAAGGATAAATACAGTTTTTAATTATTTTTATATCTATTTAAGAATGAATTCTAATATATAGGATTTAAGTTAAATTGTAAATATTAAGCATATTGTATATATATATATATATGTTATCAAAGTTATAGGATGTTTTTTTAGAATTCCTATGTTTTAACTTCTTCTTATCTATTATAGTTAGAATTCCATGTATTAAGTAAATGATTTGATTGGATTTTGATAATGTCACAAACATTTTCAACTGGTTAGCTTTAAATGTTGTTAGCTATCTTATCCATAGTGTAAGCCAAAAATAAATCTTTAATTGTTATTCCTTAACAATCTGGAGTTGTCATTTCTACTTTTAATACACTTCCTTTTTGAGTCCATTTTGGAAAATCTAAAATATTAATAAAATGATATACGTTTCATTTAATCGGCTATTTATGAAACAGAACCCATAAAGACGAAAGTTTCTTTGAAGCTATTAAATTTGTATTCTCTAATTAATTTAGAAGTATCAATGTTCTATGACCAAGTTAATTGATGAACATCAATAGCATGACTGACTTCATCTTGATTTAGTTTGGAAACAGATATTGTTGGAATGTCAGTTAAATCCCTTACAACAATCTTTAAAGAACTTATTAAGGTTGTTGTTGTTGTTTTAAATCCAATTTCATTAGAAAGGTATCTGTACATTGTGAAGACAAAGCAATTAGTTATTTTAATAATGACTTAAATAACTTACAACACTTGATTTATATATTAAGAAAATAAACTGAATAAAATTTCAGTTATTTTAATCATATTTCTTAATTTATCAATTTTGCTGTTAATTTTTTTAATACTGAAAATTTGCTTAATTAATATTCAAGCTTATTAATTGATTAGATCTATTATAAAGAAATAATTAAGAAAAATCAAAACAATATAGGTTGAAATAATTTAGAAAAAATATCAATTTTAAAGATCATCTTATTGAGAAAAACAATATATATATTTGAATTCAATTGATATTAGTACTTTAAATATTGATGAAATGGTTTCAATGACAATATTAACATCAAAAAGAATATTGACTATTACATTTGTGTTTTAAATATATTATTATATTTATATAATGACAAATAAAGACTAATTTTACAAACTCGAAGAAATAGAGGAAGAAGGTAATTAATCAAAATCGAGTGATGAATCATCAGAATCAGATAATCTATTTTCATCAATGAGATAAGTTAAGACTGTTAGGGCATAAAAGAAAAAGACTCTATATGCAGAGAAATTAATATAGACTTATAATTCTTATTTGTAATTTCTTGGTGGATAATAATTATCTGATAAGGAATAAGATGATTTGAAAATGTTTCTTGGCAATTTAACTCAAACAAGATTGAATTAGCTTACAGATAAATACTAATATTTAACAGAATATGATTATCATATGGGAGATGTAGTAATAGCGTAAATAAGTTGAATCAATATTAGATTTCCTAATCCTGATAGTCCTAAAAGTGAAGACTTAGGAACAATGACTTAATTGGAAGCAATTTAATTATGTTTGAATTGTTTTGCTGCTAATAAATATGCTACAGAATTTGAAGTTATGGATAATCTTATTTTAATAAAGGCTATTGAATAGAATTTATATCATTTACAATCTGATGATGAATTTTTATTAAAATAATATGAAGAAGAAGATAGAATGAGAGAAGAATAAGAATAAATATTAAGTGAAGATTCAAGAAATAAAAAGAATATTATAGATTCATCTAAACAATTAGATACAGAAGAAAGAAATAATGAAGGTAGAAAAAGTGCAAAAAGAGAAAGATTTTAAAATTTAAAAAGATGGGGTGGTTCATAGAAATTATTTAGTGATGAAGTTGAGAAATTGGAACTTAAATTAATATAAATCTATAATTTAGATAGAAAGACAAGACAAACTGCTATTAAAGAAGCTTTTAATTTAGATAATTATAAATTAGATAGATTTATTAGAATTAAATTAAGTGGAGGTAAGTTTCTAGAATATAATGAAAAAGAAAAATATTGGATTCGTACATAAAATTAAACTAAAGATTTTAGTACACTTATAAGATAGGCTGTGATATTATAATTAAGTAAATTAGGTTTCTTAATGAGATAATTTATATCTAAAGATGGTTCAACAATCTTTTTAGTATTATATTAAGCAGATTAAAATCTAAAAAATTTGGCTAATAAATATGAAATTACAAAATAATTAAATTTCTAATTTTAAGATATATTCTCATATGAACCTGTTGATGATAATCTAAGACCATTAAGATTAAATAATAGATTATGGAAATCAAATAATGATTATAAAGGTGAATTATCAAAAATGTTTATTTATCTTAAACCTAAAATTGTAGAATTACTTGATAAAATTAATTATAAATAAATTTCAAGGGAAATAAATTAATCAATGATAAATTAATAAATATTCTCTTAAGGAGATGAAGAGGTTATTGATGATTATGCTCCTCAAGATGATGTTTGGAAAGCTTATTATGCTTATTTAATCTATTTAGAAGAAAAAGTTACACATCTTAGAAATTAATGCATTATTCAAAATGAATTTGCATAATTTTTTAATAAAAATACTAAAAGTAAAAAACCATATGAAATTTATATGGAAAAAAACCCAGATAAACTTAAATTTTAAGATTAAATTAATAGTCAAGATATACACATTTTAGAATAATTATAAAAAGAATCTGAAATTGAGGATTAGATAGATTTAAATGGAAGAAATATAGAACTCATGGATGTTTTTTATGGCATTTTTTAAATTATATAGGAGCATAGAAAATAATAGAAATATTATGATTAAATTAAAGGAATTTGTAATATAAATGCAAATAAATTCATTAGTTCTAAAGATGTTAAAGTTTTAAAGAAAGAATAATTAGCTAAAGCATATTTAGATTTATTTTAGGAAGCATTATAAATTACAAATTTAGGAAGTATTAAACCTCTTAAAACCATTTGGGATTTAGCAGATATAGCTCCTTTTGAGCCATTTATAACTTATAAACTGACAGCAGATAAATTGGCAAAAAGTTAATAATGTAAAATTAATGCTTTATGGAAATAATATTGTATTACAGAGACTGGTAAGATTTCATTATTCTCAAATATGGAAAGAATGAAAATAAATAATCTGGCTCTAGACGAAAAGATCAATTTTACAATATTAATTTCAGATAAATTTGTTTTGGCCAAATATTGTTTGCATGATAATTATGAAATATAAGGAAAGAGTAAGCGTTCATTTTTTGTACCTCTTTTTAAATCTGATTATAATATAGAAATTCTAAAGAATAAATCTTTATATTTATATTTCTATAAAGAAATGACTGAAAGGAATTATTTAGGCATTATTGGTTAAAACAAATATTAGAATCAAGAATATTAATTTGCAGAACGAAAACTAGAAAATTTAGCATTTCAATGGAGATTTCAATGGAATCATCCTTGGTTTGTACCTACCAAATAAATTAGAGAATATTATGGTGAAAAATTAGCCATATATTTTCATTTTGTTGGATATAATGCATCTATGCTTTTTCCAATTGGTATATTGGGTTTAACTATCAGCATAATATAATTTATTGTAAGTGATACTAAAACTCCACTTTATGTTTATTTATATATAATATTTGGATTTATTTAGATATAATGGAGTAATTTGATTCATGATATGTGGTAAACTAAGGAGAAAGTATTTGCAATGTAATTCGGTTAATTTAATTAATCTGGAGAAGATACAACTTAATAAAGATCATAATTTTATGGTTATTATTCACGTTCAATTGAGACAGATAATTTAAATATTCTATTCTTTACAGATTTTTAAAAACTTATGAAAAAAATAGTATCTTTTGCTTTATTATTTATAATGGTTATATTTTATGTAGGTATTATAGTATCTATTTTCATTATATCTGATGCATTGTAAGATGTGGAAGCATTCACAGAGCCTGGTTATTCTACAGCTTTATTTGAAGTTACAGTACCAGCTCTGATAAATTTGATACTTGTATTATTATTGGATAGAGTATTTGATAAATTAGCTATTGTATTAACTGATTATGAGAATCATAAAACAATTAAAATGTATGAAGCTAACTTTATTTATAAAAAGTTTTTCTTATGTTTTTTTGCTTTATGTGTTCCCATTCTAGAAATTTAATTTCTTCATACAGTAATAATTATTATATAATAAAATTAGAAATTTGGTTTACATTGTGTTCATGGAGATTGCTTGAAACATTCATGTTATCATTTTGCAACTATGTTTATATTATAGTTCTTGATCAATGTTTATTTAAAAACAAGATTGTTTGTACTTAAATTTATAAAAGATTTGTATCTTTCTATAAAAAATCCAAAAAGGAAAGAAACAAAATATACACATCTAAATTTAAATGTTAATTCTCATTAATCAAAATCAAATAATACAAATACTAATAAGGTATCTGGATCTCATAAAGTTTCTCTTAAGCCTAGTATAGATCCTTTGAAATCAAATTAATAATAAAAAAAATCAATTTCTCATGCATCACATCCATCAAATCAATTTAAATCAAATGAAAGAAGTTCAAATAGTGGTTCCATATCTTAACCTCCTGATTAGAAACTTTAATTTTTTTAAGATAATTAAATAAATATATAAATTTAAGATTAGGTTGTTGGTGATTAAGATAGTGTTTAAGAGAAAAAGTAGGAAGATCCATTTCATTTAATAAATGATTACATCGAGGAATGTAAATTTATGTGTAAATAATGGTTTTAGAGTTTTTTGACAAAGAATCATATGTTATTAGTCCTGAAAGATATGGAACAGTAGATGATTTTATGGAAATAGCTATATAGCATTCGATGCTTGTCTTATTTGGAACAACATTTCCTTTAAGTTATATGATTGCCTTTCTTAGAAGTTTGTTAGAATTATAATGTGATAAATTAAAATTGCTTAATGAAATGTAGAGACCTATTCCAATTAGTGAAAGCACTATTGGAGTGTGGAATAGAGTCCTAGATGGATTAGCCTATTTGTCATTGGTAGTAAATAGTGGTTAGATAACTTCAAAGAGAGATGACATTTCATCTCCAGATGGTTTAATATAAATGTCTGGTTTCTTTTTAATTTGTCTTTTGGCTAATTTCTTCTTAAGATTTGTAGAAATGACATTGTTTAGTGAATTGCCATTTTAGATTTAAGATTTATTGCAAAGATAAGCATATTTAATTAAAAATACAGTTGAGAAATTTAGGGGATCAGCTGAGCGTTCATCAAATAAAGCCATAAATCCTAGAAGTTTGAAGCGTTATCCAATTCTTAAAATTTATGGAACTAAAGTAAAGGATGTAAGAATAAAAGAAATGGTGGAATTGAGTTCAGATTCTGATGTTGAAGACTATGTAAAAAGAATGGAAGAAATAAAAGGTATTAAACATGAAAAGAAGAAGGTGAAGCCTAAGATTGAAAAGAATGCCAAATCTAAAAATTAATAAGAAAATGAAGATGTAGAAGAAAATGAAGAATAAGAATAAGAAGATAATTAAAATTTAAAGTTACTTCAAGATGCAAGTAATAAAGAATCATCAATAGAGGAATTACAATAATACTTTAATGCCAGAGTATCTAATTGGGCTATGAAATTTAAAATGAAAGATACTTAAGATAAAGAATAATAATTATTACAAAAACTCTTTTTTTAAAAGACATTGGGTTATCTAAAAATGAAAGATTAGTTAAATCCTCATCAAAAACAATGGACATTAGATAGATATACATATAGAAAATTCTTTTTACCTAGATCCTTGGTTCTAATTAGGAATTTGGATTGGAGAAGATACTTGATATTTTAAGAAGGAGACAAAAGACTTAAGAAATCTTTAAAACAATAACAAAATAAAAAGTATGAACTATAATTAGATTTTCTCAATAAACATTAAGATATTTAATAAAATGTTGTGGAAAAGATGGAAATTCTAAAGAAGAAGAAAGAATTTGTAAAAAAACATGTATGGATTGATGGTCGTAGCACAGTATTCTTAAGATCAGGTGGAGTGTGGTTTGGACAATTTAGAAAAAGTACTAATAAAGTATCAGGTGTTAAAGTAGCTGAGAGTTATTTTAGAATTTTGGAAAAATTTAAGAAGGTCTGTGAGAATGAGAATAAGGCTATGGAATAAAATATCTAAGATTAATAATAAGAATAGATAGAAGATTCTAATAAAAATAAAAAGGATACAAAATTTAAACCAATAGATGAATAATTTTTTAATTTGACTTGCAATCTATCTCAAACATAACTTAAGAAATTTTCATCTACTTCTTTAATCTCACTTCTTGATTCCTTATAAATAAGACATAAAGAGCATTATATATATATGTTGTCATCCAAAGGAGTTAGTTAAGTTGAATATTAATTAGATAATTATATCACAAATGAATTAAGAAAATAAAATAGAATTATGAATTTTTCCTATATACCATTTAGAATTCAAGCTCCATTCTTAAAATTTAATTAAATGTAGATTTGGGAGTTGTTTGTAGAGGAATAGATGAGATAAACACAACCAAAATTTAATCTACTTTATAGAATAGATAAAAAGAAAGATCAATTTGCTTCAAATATAAATACAAATGTTTTTGGTCTACAACCTTAAAACAAAAGATGGTTAATGTCATATGTTGATGTACCAAAAAGAGAGGATATAATGCTCTATTATACAACTGAAATATCATATAATAGGAATATTTTTAAAGATTTTATTAATAGAGTTTATAGATTTTATGATATTGTTGAAGGACCTGATTATGCAAGCTTAAATCTACCTATAGGAATTGCTAAACTTAGTTATTTAAAAATTTAAAAACAACCCCAATATTTAAATATACGAGATCCATTAGTTAAAGGTTACTTAAGTAGAGCTTATAGTTCTCCTAAGACTCATAAATTTTGTAATGGGAAGACTCTTAAAGATGTTATAAAAGAGAGAAAAACAAAATATACAGATATTGAAATTTCAAATTTTATCACTTCAACAATTAAATTATTAGATTTTTTAGAAACAAATATGGGGATGTTTCATGGTTGTCTAAATTTGGATAGTTTTATTCTTGTTGAAAAATTGGATAAGGCAAAACATTTATAATATGTAGTCTTTGATTTTGGAATGTTTTTTTGGTATGATCTCAATACTGAAAGAACATATTTCATGAGATCCATATAATAAAATGATGAATTATGGTATATGAGTCCAGAATTGTTAACTAATTATCTTTAACCTAGTAATTAGATACCTTTAAATCCATAGAAATGTGATATATATTCATTAGGAATGATAAGTCTTCATATGGTTACTCTTGGATAAATGAAGTTAGATGTAGAAAAATCACTATAAGAATATGATGGAGATGTTGGTTTTACAGTAAGAAGATGGATGATGAATAATAAAAATTAATTGATTCATGATTATCCTAAATCTAGTTAATTAATAATGTAATTGTTGCATCCAGATTATAAATTAAGATTATATCCTTCTGTAATGGCAGCTAAATTATAAGGTAGAGCAATATTTAATGATAATGGAATGTGTAATTTTAATTTTGATGAGGAATTGGAAGTATTGAAATAAAAAAGATTTTGCCCAACTTTCTATGACAATATATTGGATGAATTGAATGAGGAATAATCTAAAAATCAAGTTTTTATATCTATCAAATCATATTTAAAGTAAACTATCTTTTCATTTGAATAATATTTGATTTTGGGACAACTTGAAAAATTTGATGAAATGTCTCAAGATTTTGAAGAAATTATTATTCATAAGTATTTTCTTACTTCTGTAGAATAATCTACTGAAGAAATATCAGATTTTTTAAGTCATTTTTAATTGTATTTTAAATCCAATATTGTCAATATAATATCAAATAGTTTAGATGAATTCAAATATTTTATTTTCTATTTCCAATACAAAATTATCTTTTTTATTTACATGAATCGATTAGAAATTAGTATAAAATAATGTACTTAATTATTAAATTTACTAAATGAATTTGAAGAAATAATAAATGAAGTTATCCTTTTAAGTTAATCTGAAAATTTAGTTATTTAGGAAAAGTTTAAAAATGATGAAAAACTAATATTCAACTTATTATAATTATAGAAAGATGATTATTCATCATCAAAATTTATGAAATCATTCTCTCATCATATCAAAGTTTATATTTTTTAAATGCAAATGTTAATATCTTAAATATGTAATCTAAATAGTATGTATTCAATTGGTATAGAATAAACTAGCAAATTAATTACGGATTAATGGAATGAAATTAAATATGATCTGAAATATTTAGAAAAAGATAATAATTATTTTCTTTTAACTAATTCAATTTATATTAAATTATTGAATCGATTATAGATTTAATTTATATAACTATAATTATTATTTGATAGTTTTGACAAAAATGCTTTAAATTAAGGAAATGAATTGTTAATTGATATTTAATTGATGCAATAATTTATTTAAAATGAAAAAATAACTGAAAAACAAAGTGTTATTAAATCAATTGTTAAGTGTTCAAAACATAAATAATTAAATGAAGATCTAATGAAGTAATCTTTAGCTTATCTTAATTTTTATGAAAATTAAGTTAAATTTATTTTATTATTATTATATAATAGAAATAAGGAATTTTAACAGACAGAATTAATTGCTTCTTAATTGGTAAAATAATTTATATAATCTAATTGTATTTTGGAGCAATTAAATTTCATTCCAATTATTGGATGGATTGGCGAACATTATTCAGAAACTGATCAACAGGAAAATATGTAAAATCTGTATAAATTTATTATTACATTGATGGAAGAACAATTTATGATTTATGAAAGCTTCTAAATAGAGTCTACAATTTATTTTAACTATTTAAAGGTTATAATAACTTAGACTATATTTTATTGTTCTTAATTGCTTTATTATAATGTTTTATCAATGAGTAATGGAATATATTAGGGATTCATGCAATTAATCTAATCTCATAATTTGTATGGAGACAATAATCTATTAAGTCACATAATCTAAATCAAATTGGTACATGTTTTAATTGAGAATTAATAACATCAATATCCATATTATTTCAGACAAAATGAAGATCAATTAGATTATAATTATGATGTTCCAAACTCTATTTTAAATTAATCTTTAATTACTTGTTTACTAAAGCTTTATAAATTTGTTGTAAAACATCTACAAGTTAATGAAGAACAAGAAAACAATGAAATAACTTGGTTTTATGATGATAAAATTAGTTAATTAAAATTAGAGTTATTGTATGGTTATACTTTTATATTAAGTAAGTAGAATGTTGAATCAGAAAATAATCATCCTTTTATTGATTTATAAATAGCAATAAAAAAATATATAATAATTATTGATGAATAATTATAAAACTCAAATGTTTTTGTAGTTATTGAAAATAAGGTTCTTTATACAAGAATATTATAATTGACCTATGATTATTAATAGGCTTTTGATCACATTAAAATAGTTGATTTATTATAATAAATTCCAATAAAAGAGGATGATATTTCTGATCAATAAAAGGCATCTTTACAATAAATCTTTTTTTCTATACTTGACATTCATGTTAATAATAATTTTTACTATAATAATCAATAGACTTATAAATAGATGATGTAATTAGAAGAAATGTAATTCATAAAAAATCATAAAACATTTTAAATTAGATTTCTGTTGATAAAATTAATGGATTTCTTTTTAAAATGTTAATAATTAGAATTAAATAATGAATTAATTAAATTTTTGTTTACTTTATATTAAAATAAAGCTAAGATGTTGAAAAAAGAGAAATATACATTAAAATTAGCATTAGAAATTAATAGATTGAGAACATATGTATTATCTGAAGAACTAAGGCAATTAGTTGAAAAATAAGATAAAAAAGATAATACAAAAATATAAGATTTATTTGAAAAGATACAGTTAGCTTCTCGTACGATGATGGAGATTAAAGAAAAGAAATAAAAGAAAAAGAAAGGGAAAGTTCAAAAATCAAATACAACTTCTGATATTAATAGATATTTATTAGCACAATAATTAGAATAATAAGATATGGATAGAATTTAATCAGGATTCGTACATATTGATGATAAAGATTAAGGATTTGATAATTAGATAGCTTTATGTTAATTAGGAGTGAAATTGATTGTTTATTAATTACATGTTGGATAATTTAGAGATGCTGATTCTATGGCATATAATATAAAACGAAAATTATTTGATTTGATTTATTATGAAATATGCAGAATGGCTTTGGATTGGTAAAGTGAAAGGATATTCTTAAAATCAAATGCTACAGAAATATCAGTTAATCAATTATTTAAAGCATTAAATATTCATGATTTAAATTTTGAAAATTATGAACATAATTTATTACATAATATTGGACCAATAAAATAAGTTGCTTTAAATGTAAGAAATTTCTTAGTTTTAAAATAAGTTTTATTTATGAGATTACTTTATTCATATGTAGAAGGATTATAAGCTTTGTGTATAATAATGAAAGGAGATTTCAAATTATCAAAATAAAATCTAAATTTGTAAATCAAATATATTATTCTTTAGTGTTTAAACTTTTGGTGAATCGAACATAGATGAGATTTCAGCATTAATAACTGATGTTCTAATGTTATTTGAAATAACAACAGCTGATTATAATTCAGCATCTAATAAAGCTATTAAATTATTAAAATTATTATCAAAAAGAATAAAATAAACAAATATTTAATTGTAAACTCATTGGATATATAGTCAATTTGATGATACAAGAATTCAAAAACAAAGAGTATTTATATATATTTATAATATTAATAGATTTATCATCCAATTTAAATAGAATAAATAATAACATTTGAAGAAATTGATGAAATGTAATCATTTAGTGAAATTAAATTCTCTTATGAAGAAACATTAACTAAAACAGCATTAAGACCTTATTTTGAAATAACTAAACTAACAACAGAAGCTTATTTTGCATATATAGAATCTTTGATATAACAACCAAAAATATTAATATAGTCTGTTGATCCAATATTCTATGCTTAAAAATATGTTCAGCAATAATATGGTTTATAACATATTTTCAATGGTCATTTATAAAGATTAATAGCAACAATGTATTCTGAGTTTCTGATCAACAAAAGAGTAAAAGATTTAGAGGTTGCATTGTAATAAGATTCTGATAAGAAGATCAAGTTTCTTAAACAAGAGATCACAGCAAAAACTAGAGTATATTTAGAATCTAGAGTGAAAAATAAATGCACATAATAAATGGAGAAAGTATAAAATTAAATCATATTAATAATAGAAATTCTAAGAAACTAAACAATTTTTAAAGAGTAAAATAAAAACATTAAGAACAATAAGAGATGGAATATCATATGATGTAGTTTGTAGATGGTCATTGTAAGCAGCTAATGAATCACTTGCAATTTATTAGAAATATTGCATTGAATTCAAATATGAATCAAATCCTTATCTAGGTTCTTTATATTCAACATTTGCTAATATATTCTTTGTAATATTATTTAAATAAATTTAAGGTTTAAAATAAAATTGTATCGACATAACAATATTTGGAAAAGGTAAAAAATACTTTAGAATATTGTTATACATCTATTTCAAATCCTGATTATTGCAGATATTTCTATCAATTAGGATATTTGAGATTGCATGTATTTTATATTATCAAAATGTATATCGAGGCATTAATAGGTCTTGCTAGACTCAGTAATAACATATTTTATATTAGATCCCTCTGAAAAGTTTGAGGTTCTACTAGCAATTATAACTGAAAATGAAAAATTTTTGTATCACTTTGATTAATATTGCTCTCATGGGTTTTTCTTATTTTTGGAAATTAATATACTGAAATAATTATCATAAGAACGTGTAATCAGAGATAGATTGACTTAATCCTATCGTAAAGATGAATAAGATTTGATTAGATATTTATAAATAGAAGGAGATAAATTAGCATTTTAGAAGACTATAGATGCTAATTCTAAACCTTATGCTCATGTGGTTGAAAATGTATATAAAGATGCTGTTCATCTCATTGAAAAGTAATCTCATAAATTTAATCCTGATTATACAGGATTAGAATTGTTTATTAAGGTAACAATTTCATTATAATTATTAGGCATTCTAAATATGCAAATTAGTATTAACTAGTGATAACACAATTTATTAAAAGATCCTTACACTTGTCAATAAATTATCAAATAGAAAGAATAGTTTGGTTTGAAATTTTCATAATTTATACATAAATATAAATTAATTATTAAACATATTATTTTTATTAATTAAATGTTTATAAGTAATTTTATAAATTATATTAAAAAATAAAGATTTTTGATAACCTCTTGTAATATAAAATAATAAAGTAAAAATTTATTTGGATTCATTTTTAGTCAATAAATTATTAGCCAAAAAATAAAATGAATTTATTCCTTAGCAAATAATTAAATAAATTTAATTATATTTTTAAGAAATGAAGTTAATTTATTTGAATAAATTATCACAATATATATTAATATGTCATTTTTTCTTTTTTGTCTTCTGTTCTCTTTATTTTCTATCTTATCTTTAAAGTATCTCTAACTTTTCTTTCCATTGTTAGGATTAATCAAAATTTCTCAATTTCCACCATAAAATATCCATTCTAAAAGTGGAATCTGATGGTATTGGGAATTAAGCTAATTGCATTTTAACAGGATAATCATTTTGAATAGATATTAATTTTTAATTGTCAACCTATTAAGATATAATATTATTTATATACTTTCAATTCATTGATCCAAATACCCTTAATTTTATGTCTGACTTATTTGATATCATTTTTTAAATCCAATCCTTTATATTTTCTATGACCTTCTTTTTAATATCTCATAATTGCTGAATCAGTAACATCACAAAGAGCTCCACACAAATAATCCAGTTAATTAACATATTCAATTTCAAAATATTAACAATATTTTTTGTCAGGATTAAATGTAGTTTCTAAAATAATCTTATTTTTCATATCTATAATGAATTATTTTTCAAGATAATTAAGCACTTTATCACCATAGGTAGTCCCATTCAAACTACCTGGAGCAAATGTTAATAAAATTTCTTAATGAGGATTCTCAAATGTAATCTTAAATGTTCCAACATTTCTACCAACAACTGAATTTGAATGAAAATTAGCCACTAATTCTAATTAACCATCAATTCTAGATATTTTAATAATAATCATACTTATATTATCTTCCATACATTTGAATGGCACATATTGGAGGATGATGGCTGATTTATTCACAATAAATTGGACAATTATCATAAAAGCCTTGGAAAGTTTCACCTAAGATTGGATTAAAAGGCTAAGCTTACAAAAATAATATATATACCTTCTCACAAGATATATACATAAATATAAATCCAAATTAAAATGCAGCACATTATTTAATTCTATAATAAATATCTTAAGATTGAGCAGCTTCTTCTAAGTATATTGGTGCAAATCCTAAACTACTACAAACTCTTTCAGTATTGGAACGAGCTTCAAAAATAGAGACTGGCATCGAAATTCCAGTAATTGATTTTCCCATTAATAATGATGCTCCAATTCTAGTAATTAGAAATTTAATAACTGCCTTTTAAGCAGCTAATTTCTCTTCATTAATTACTTTCAATCCTCCATTCTTTTCTTCTCTAATAAAATCTCTTCTAAATATATAGTGTCCTCCCTCTTGTGAAGTCAGAAATTATCTTTACTATCCTTTTTCTTTAGGTTATAATTGATGTTTAACATTTATTGAGAGTGAACAATAACCTCCAGTTAATACTAATTTCATTTTCTTTTCTACCCATTCTTATTCATTATTATCCTATATATCAATTTAGATAGGTAAAATAGATTGTCTTCTTGCATTTTATTCATAAACATCTTTTACAACATCATCTTAAATCAATTATTTATTATGCACTGTTTCAACAATATATAACTTATCATTCATTTCATCTATTGCATCTTCTTCTTCACAATCAAAAAATTCATCATTTTCCTCTTAATTATATTGTTGATTTTCTTAAGCAACTTTATTTTGAGATAATAATTATTGTTGATCAGTTTATTATTTTTATATCTGAGATTGTCCTCCTTAAACTTATTATTCTAATGTAATCACTTTATTTATTTGGGAAATCTCTACAGTAGTAGAAATTTAATCTTATTTTGTTGTCTTTTAAATGTATGACTTATTAATATTGGTAATCTATTATAAGAATACTTAAGTAAGGTAAGAATCTTCATCTGGATATGATAAACCCAAAACTGATTGTTCTGTCACATAACACACTTTAGTCACATTATTTCTTAAATTAGATATGAATACATTACTTGTATTCGATACTCCACAAACCATATTTTAAACTTCCTTAATTACATTTAGTTTTTGGCCTTTAATCAATTTACTTTTATACTATAAACTCAATATTGTCTATTTTTAGATGATGGCGTAAATATTAATATTCTCGCTTAAAAACAAATAGATTTGTTAATTGACGTATCTCACATATTTGGAATGATTTATCTTCTACTAATTCTTTCACTACTATAGATTCGGTTTGAGATACATATGGATTCCACTAATTAATTTTGTTGTTATCTGATAAATTCTATACAATCAAATCACAACCTAATTATCATCATTTTATTATACAATCACCATTGAATTCTATAAAAGTTATAAATTGATGATGATTTTCAACATTTTTGTATATTGTACATGTTTACTACTTATAAACAACCTAAAATCTCTCTAATCTTTATTGTCCTTTCCTTATTTGAGATATACTTATAAATTAGTAAACAAATTATACTTTTCTCTAATCTCACTTGTATCAAAAAAACATGGTATTTCATAATCTATTTTCTCAAAAGCAGATTCTTTATATTAAATCATTAATACATTGAGTATTTTCTACAGGTATTTCAGTTTAAAATTTTAATTATGATTCTTCATATTGTTATTTTTAAATAGGCTCCTCTTTTGTTATCAATTTTTACAATAAATTGATAATTACATTAGCTTATTATTCATTTTGTATTCCTAAAGTCACACTTTTCCCACCTGCTTTAGAAATCAAATCAAATGAAATCTTATCTTTTTTTTTCTCTCTTATCTCTAACTAATTAATTTTTTTATTTTCTATACTTTATAATATTATAAATAGAAAGGCTTCAACTTCTTTTTTGCCTAAGAGCTTTTTAATGCAAAAATTCTTTATTCTTCATCAATTATAAACTTCTTTGTTTTCCATCTCCCCAACGTTTTTCCCTTAACTTATATTTCTCCTTCACTTATTTACTTTGATGGAAGATAAATTGTTGAGCGTATATCCATAATTTAACTAATTTAATATAAATAGCGATTAATACTATATATATAACAAAATTCAAAGTCTCCTCTCAAAATTCTTTGTACTATAATTATCTTCAATATTCTGCACCTATGTACTTTTTAATATTAAAAATAACAACATTAAATGATGCAGGAATTTAAAATACAATTATTTTTAGAAAATTCTCACATCTGTTTAAAATTTAGAAAAATATATTGTTTAATTATAATTTCTTAAAATTTAATGACTTAATAGTTAATAAATGTCAAACAAGCTTATATATTTTTTACATTTATTTTTAATGAATTCAAAGATTTGCTTCAATAAAAAATTACTCAAAAAATTTTATTATTATTCTGTTGGTCCATCCACAATTTGTAATTCTATTTTAGTAAAAATAAATTAAGATTATAATTTTCAGCTCTTTAATTGTTTCATCATAGTATTTAAGGATAACTTTATATTCTTAATTCTTGTATATTCTTCAAAATAACACAACATGAGAATAATATACTGAATTTCTTATGAAAAAAATTAGTACCTTTTAGAACTTTTAGGTTTAAATATATATAAATAAAATAACATAATTAATCATCAATTTAGATAGAGTAATATAAAGTATTTAAAAATCCAATCATGCTATCGTGTAAAAATAAGTCATTTAATTAAACAATATCATTTTTTTAATGCTTTTATTGAAATTATCATTTAATAATTCTAGAAAACAATAATACTATTTCCAAAAATATGTTAAAAATTTTTAATGAAAGAGAGAATTCATAAAACATTTAAATATTAATTCATAAAGTATAATTTAATAATTATCATTTATCGATTATTCATAAAAAGTTTACAATAATTGAAGTTGGCTTATTGTTTATCATAAATTCGTGATACATATGTTATCTAATCTAAAAATTATTCATTGACTTAAGCAATTGTTAATATTATGAATATCAATTATATATTAAATAATACATTGGGTAATATCGATAATTAAAAAATTAATTATAGAAAAATATATAATAAATAAAAAAATATAAAAAATGGATATTTAAAAGCTGATTGATGTCATCTTGAATGCAGCCAAATAATAAGATATAAAATAAGATTTCGAATTAGTTCAATTAGTCTTAAATCTTACTGATTCTGAATTTGAAGAGAAGATACTCAAATTACAAGGAACAGGATCCAAAAGTGTTTGTTCTGCTCCTCTTTCTAAAGATATTTTGTTTTACAAATGTTTTGATTGCAGCAAGGAGCCTACACATGTGTATTGCCAAGAATGTTATATCCCAGAAAAACATTTGAGTATAATATTTATTTTTACATAAGATCATGTTGTGACATATCATTACTCAAATGGGGGATGTTGTGATTGCGGAGATACATTGGTTATGAAGAAGAAATCATTTTGTTATAAGCATTCTCAATAGTAAATCTAAATACCTGTTCCTGAGAAATTATTTGGAAGTACTAATTAGTGTAATTAATATAGAAAATTTGGCAGAGAGATATCGATAATTTATTATGGTATCATTCGCACTTTTGTTTGAAAGGACCTAGAAAATTGTTGATTACAATGATAAAACAATGAAATAAACATAGGATGCCATTTACAATTTGAAACTTGAAAATTCTGCTAATTTTATGAAGGAGATTATGGCAGAGTTTCTCTAAAAAGAAAACATCTTAAAAGAGTGTTAAAAATTGTATACACTTATTTTTAAAATCCTAAAATTTATAACTTCTAATAATATACCTTGGAGTTATGCAACAAGCAAATTTCTATAAATTCCTATTGATTAAGACATTTAAAAATACATAACCCTATTTCATGCTCATTCTAAAAATCAATTTGAAAACTTTAAATTGAAAAGGAAATAATAAATTTGTTAATGTTCTATTTTAAATCTATTTGTTAAGCATAATGTTTTTTTTTCGCGATTTATAAAAGAAGATGCAAATACTATTTCAGAGTTGTTTTATGAATTGCACGTTGATGAAAATTTCAAACCATATTTGTGTAAACAAATCTTGATCCATTATAATCATTTGTATATTCCAATTTAAGTTTACAAATTAATAACAGTTGATAATATAGAAATGAAATTTAAATTCAATACAATAAATTATTCAGAACATTCAAAACTAAATGAACTAATTCCAATATTAATGTAAAATGAAAATGTAAAAAAAATTTATTGTAAAAATAAAGTAGAGAGGGCTTCTTTATTTGGATATTTTTTTCAGTTTATGGGACATATAGTTTTAAGTCTTTTAAGCTTATATAAAGAATATAATAGTTCATAATATTATTGTTTGTTTGATATATTCACTAATCAATTACTCTAATTGTAATTTATTTTTTAATTAATATAGACCATTATGCAATGAGGAAACCCAGCACTTCTGCTAATAATTTGATGATATGATTCTCTCATAATTTTAAGATGATGTAGTAAAAAGGCTATTTGAATAAATTTCTGAAATCCTATCCTTAGAAGCTGAATAATTTAAGTTCAGTCCAATACTTCCTAATAATCCTAAGTTCAATTATCTTTAAAATAATTCCTTATTAATATATGCCTTAACTAAAATATATCCTTGTTAATAAACAGAGACTAGTACCTTTCATTTCCTACATCCATAAGAAAAAATTAAATTCTAAGCATCAGAGATTATCCAGATTTTTATACTTTAAGGATATCGAAAATTATTGTCTGTTGTAGTTGACACTTGGAATGAAGTTAATAAATAAAATAAAGTTGGATTATAAAACATTTTTAGATTGACCATCAATTACTATTTAAATAACTATGTCACATCCTTTTCGTTGAAAGCTGAATCAACATTAAAGAATTATTTATTAAATATAGTAATATGTGATAGAAACTTTATAACTTTACTATCATTGTTTTTGATGGATTACAATGACCCGCAAGAGGCCTATGAAGAATTACTAGAGTTGAGTGGTCTAAGCTCATAAAAGTTCAGATAAGTTATGTTGAAACTTTTAAGAAGAACTTTACTGAATAATATTCTACTTTTAAAGAATGGAAATCCATTCTTATATAAGGGATAAATTAAAATTTATAAGGAATAAATAAAACTTAAAGAAGTTTCACTTGAACAAGTAGACGTAGCTTACATTTAATTATATGCCTTTCTATTTGGCCCATAAGGAATTAATGATATTATCTCCAGTTATAAGGAAATAGCAACATTCTTCAATTACAAATCAGATCCATCTTTTCTTATATGTAGAATTGCTTAAACCGATTATGATCTTATCTAGTGCGTAGGTGATATGTTTGGCAATGATCTTCCAGATCAATTTTAAAAAGGATTAAATAAATTGTTTCAAACAATTTTTTTTGCTTAATCTTTTTACCAAGAGAATGATCTTAGAGAACTTCTTAAGAAGTTTAGTTATGATAGCAGTTAGGATTTATAAAAAATAATTTTAAGTTCTTGTGAATTGAATTAAGATAATCAATAATTATAATTAAAAAAATCCCTATTACCAGTTTAATATGAACCCATTTTTGCTTCATTGGTATTAGAATTAAAAGAATAAATAACTGATAAATTAAAAACTTAAAATGATAAATAATCAGAGTTATTTGGAACTGCTCTAGCAAATGAATTAAATTAATTAAATCAACTCAAATCAACTTTAACATATAAAAGGTTAGCCATACTTAAAGCAATAGCTTGTGACACTGAATAATAAATACTTCAATAGATTTTAGAATAATTATAAGTTCAATAAGAATAAGGATTAATTAAAAATATTTCATAAGTATTGGAAGATTATTCTGTTTATATTAATCTAGTTTATTTATGCAATAAACATTTGAAAAATAACAATGCAAATCTTCCTACATATTTAAGCGCTATTTCTTAAATATGTTTCTAGATCTTATAAGATGTTAACTTAACGTAAACATCAAATAGCATTTATGAAATATTTGCTAGATAACTTGATGAAACTTTGTGTTTAAATCCTTTCTAAGTTGAAAGCGATGCTTAAAAAGCTTGTAGATCACAAATAAAAAGAAAATATTATTAGTAAAAATTTAATAATATGGGATCAGGATTTAGCAATCAAATTGCAGAGACTCCAACTTAATTGATTACTGAAAATTGTTCTTTATGCTAGTTGGAGTTTGAAAAAGAGGAAATTTAATATAGAGCTCTATTAATTTAGTATTCGAATATTCATAAACATATTCATATGATTCCTAAACCAATAAAGAACAATTTATAGATAGACATGTTCTAAGTTGTAGCTTCAAGTTGTTAACACACTTTTCATAAATAATGTTTATAATAAAATGAATAAAAATTTACGATAGGCTTGTTTAAATATTTAAAGTGTCCTATTTGCTTATCTCCATACAATTTTCCCTTTGTAAATCCTATGTATATCACAAATGCAAAGGATTAAATTTTGATTGAAAATTTGGAATTCTTTTTATAAACCCTTTCAGATCAAAAAGTTATGCAATACTATAAAAGATATTCAGTTGAAGAACTCAACATTCCATAACTTCTAGATGAAATTTTTTCATAAGTACTTTGCAACTTATTATTTTAACTATTGAGTGATTTAAACAAATTTCATTTAAAAAACAATCATTTATTATTATAGGCCGTCTTGACTCTATTACGAATAATTTATCAAGAAAATTAAACCACTATTTTATAAGAAATAGTTGAAAATGATTAAGAGATCCTTTTTAGTATCTTAAATTTACTATTGCAAAATATGATAAAGTAAAATAACATCAAAGATTTGAAATAAGGATTGGATGTAATTCTTTATGAAAACCCTAATAAATCTGCAATTATTCAAGCTTTGACTGAAAATCTTATTATTTCATAAATTCAATAATAATCACTCCCATATGATATAGAAAGAATAAGTTAGGATTTAAAATAAAATTATATAGAAAAATTTCAATCAAACTTCAAAGAATTTTTACTAAACCACTACCTATCTCCTTGCAAAAAAAAATAATGCCGATTTTTGCCTTTGTTGAGAATTTAGAATTAGGAACAAAATTAATACATATGCTTAATTTGTCTTAAAAAGATGTGTGCTCATTTTTGCGGAAGAAAATCAGATGTAAATATTTTGTATTAACCTAGAAAAAAATTGGAAATTTATCTAGACATTGCATTAAAAAACATAATGGTAAGACTATGTATCTTAATTTAAAAAATAGTGAAATTATCATCATGTAATCACCATTTATTACTTTGAATAATAACCCATTATATAAAAATCTAATAGGAGAGTTACCATTCCTAGGATATTATCAATCAAGTCATTATGAAAAATTTAAGTTAAATCTTAAAGCCTTAGATTAAATTATTGAAATTGTAATTTAAGATAAATTTGTTCATAAATTATTTTAAAACTCCAAGAAAGTTTCAAGAACCACTTTGTGAATTTATACAATAGATTTTTAGATATTTAAATTAATATTTCATAACTTTTTTAATTTTTTTGTTAAGCAAAGTTTAAAAAGCTTTAAACTAAATTTCTTTGAGGTTTTATTTTTTGATTTCTCACAAAAAAATCTTATAGTCACAAATTTAAGTTTGCCTTTCATGGTTTATTGTATGTATGTTTTGTTACTTGACATTAAGGCTATATTAGTATCATATGTTTTTTTATATTTATTACTTTTTCTCTCCTTTTTCTGTAAATTACTTCAAGATGTTTTAAAATAGCTCTTTTAGCCCTTTTTAAATGGTATATTTATGAAAACTATGCTTCTGTTAATAAGTCATATTTTCATTTCAAAAAATGATAATGTAATTTTTTTGTTATAAAATTAATACTAAATAAGAAATTTTTATTTTTGCTAATCTAAATTAAATAGAGTCATATAAAGTCTTATTATAAACTTTTATTGATTATGAAAGGATTAAAGAAGAGAATTATTATTAAAATTTAGATAAAATTCAAATTTGATAAATCTAAATGGATGTCTTTTAAAGATAAAAATACATATTTTATATTATTTTTAAGATAAGAAAAAGTTGAAATATTATTCTTAAATTGAAGTAATAATTTTGTTTCCTATTTGTATATAATATAAACTATGTAATATAGATTTTCATTTATTATATTGGATGAAATTTTTGTTTGTTTATGCATTCTCAATGTTTAAACAAATGCTAATCAAAAATATTTTATTTATATCATATTTATTTAAAATAAAAAATGGCATTAAGAAACAGATTGTTTTAGGCGTTCAATACCGTACACAGGTATATTAAGTAAAAATTCATAGAATTTTTAATGTTGAGGCTAAATTCTTACCATACACTTGCACAACTAGAAATGAAGCCTTAGTCCAGAATCACACTAAACATTAATCCTACTTACAGTATTTTATTTTTTAAGGCATAGCTTTGCCAAAAAAGATCAGAATCTCTAAAATATCACTCGATCTACATTAGATGAATTCTAAAAAATGGAATTTAATGTTATTACAAACTTTTAGAGAAATGGACTAAGTATTATTGCATATATTATTATAGATAATACATATGTGGATCCACATTAAATCATTTATTAGCTTGATAGAATTGAAGTCTTAAGAAAATTAAAGTATTTTTTATTATCAACTTCTAGAGTCTTAGAATAAAATGCAGGAGCATTTCCGAAAGATGAAGCTGAATGCTTAAAATTAATAGCCAAAGTCCACCTAGAAGAACCAAAGTAAAAAATTTGTTACATTTTAGTGCATAAGCTAATTTGGATAAATTTATAGAAGCTAATCCATAATGTAGAAGATTATTATCCCTTGGATAAATTTGAGCATGATCAATTATTAAAAATAAATAACAATACAGAGAAAAATATGTAAATGCATTTCTTCTCAAAGTCTTAAGAAAATTTTAAAACTTAAATTTAGCAAATATTTAATTTTTATTAATTGATATTGCATTCTATTTCATAAATCTAGATCATTTTGTTGTATTTGCAAATATTTGGAGAATATAAACAAGATAAAATCAATAAAAAAAAAGAAAGAAACATATATTTGATAATTTTCGGTTCTTCTCATTTTATTTTGGGTAACTACTTCAAATTATTTAATTTTTCTGAACTTGTAATGATTTGAGCACTCCAAAATTATTTTGATGTTATCATCAACCTAATATTTTAAGTTTTTAATTTTTAGAATTATAATTTGAATGACATTAATGTGATTATATATTAATTTGATTTCAGAAATTATTTTAGATATAATTAACTTGAATATCATCATAGATGTGAAAAGAAACTTAAATAAAAATAATCCTACCATTTAAAATTATAATTATCAAACTTTGAAAATAGTAAGCTAGTATATTATTTTAATTTAACTCCTTTCAATTTTGAAATCATATAAATATCATTCAGAAGATTCTTTCTTATCCAATTATTTTTATTAAATATTTGATTATATATTTGTACCTTCTCTAATTATATTTAATTATGCTACTTTTTTCTACTTTTAATTGAAATAACCATACCATGGTTTACTTTTCAAACCTGCTGTTGGTCTTTTGTTAATTATTGTGAATTGTAGATCTTGGTGGCTGCTATGATTTCCAAATTGTTGTATTTTCTTTTTTCTATCATAATTTAATTATTGTGATTTGCTCCTAAGTTATTAAAATTTTAATTTTGCCAAAGGCATCATTCTTTTTTTTTAGTTTCTTTATTTTTGTAAATTATATAGAAATTTAATAAAACTTTTTATATATATTTTCATCATAGTTTAATATAATTATAAAGTTTTTTATAGTCCTTGCATTAAAGATTTGATCCACTTGCTATTTCTCCTAATGGAGCTATATACCCTTTGATCCATACCATATTTTTGGCATTTTATCCAAAAAGTTGAAGCCCATAAAGCTTAGAATTTTCAAATTATATTTTATTGCTTCCCCTATTAAATTTTGAATATAACAACAATTTTATTATTTTAACTATCTATTCCCTTTGAAATTTTTTTAACCTTTTCTTTTGAATATAATAAATTATTTAGCCAATATTGAAAACTCTCTTTAAATTATATATCCCTTTTTTCTCAATTTTTTAGATAATCAATTTATAAAAAAATATGATTTAATTATAAGTGTTCTGCATAGCCCATTTTTAGTTCATTTATACATCAGAGATAATTACACTAATTATTAATCTAATCATATTCATAGTTCAAATTGGTGATTAAGTTAAAATCTTAAATCAATTTTGAAAATTAAGCAAGATATTAATTTCTAATGGTTGTGTAGTTAAATAATTCAATGCTTATGTAATTTTAAATCAGGAGTTAATAACCTTTTTAGATTTACAAGATTGTTAGTTACCCATCTAATTACTGTGAATAATAACAGTAAATGATAGGTCTAGGAAACAGCAGGATAGCAAAAATTCAAATCCATTAAAAAATTATATTACAGTGTTTTTGGTTTATCATACCACCAACTATAATTTCTATAGAGCAACTGAATGGATTAATCAATTGATGAAAATAAAAAAATGCTTTCATTATAATCTGAAATATTCATTACAATTTTTTTTGGGAAATAAAATTGACCTTTTAACAATTTTAATAAATTTATTCAAGCTATTCTCCAAATGGGAGTAAAGGTCATAGTTAAGTTTCTTATAGCTCCAGATGATAATAGTAGCATAAAGATAGCTAATAGAGTGGCTAATTGGTTGACTTTTCCTTTCCCATTAATCCAACAAGGGAACGTGAATTCTTTAAATAGGCCTTTAGATTTCAATATAAAATAGCTAAAAATAGTAGATGGGTCAAATTTCTAGCCAACTAACTAATATAACAGCTAAAGGCCCGAGATTAATTACTATTTATTTTATGCTGACAGTGAAAGGCGTTGATGTGGATACATTTGTTATGGGGATGAGAATATTGGGAGGAATACCTCTAATAATTGATCATGATAAAAACGTCTAAGAACAAAAAATCTTCTGAAGTAGATCAGATACATTTAGAAAGTACTAGGTATATTTTACAAAGCTTCAGGAAGATTTAAAAATAATTCAAATCAAGGAGAAAATTAGATTTTAAAAAATTAATACTCCCCATTAATTAATAATAATTAATAAATGAGACATCATAATAAAAAATTATATACTACTGAATCAGAATAATCAGATTTATATTTTACAATAAAACCTTATCTGGAAATATCGATAGAGATAAAATGATAATAGAGATAATAACTGAAATGAGCAAGGCTGGTAGATAAGTTTATATTCAGACCAAGTGTCAAACTATTTATGATAAAATTTTTCTGACAATAGGAGAACTATTGGTTTGCTACATTTATTAAAGTTGCAGAATAATATTCTCCTTGTTACTCAATAAAGCCCTTAGTTAATCTCTCTTATGGAAGTTTATCAAGAGCAATTGGATGAATTTCTTGGTTAAGTAAACTGGATAAAAATGTTAATATTATAGTTAGGTTATGATGATAACCATGGTTTTACCCTTAACCAGTAAGTTAGGGAAACAGTTTTAGGATCCTAAAAAATAGGAGGATAAAATTTTAAGCTAAAGAGATCAAATACTAAAGCAAAAAATAATAACTCAAAGCAAAGTAATAAATTTCAACTTCAGTTATTCAAGAAGAAAGGAAGAATCTATCTCTTAAGTCAAACTTACTTAAATCTATTATAAATAATATAATTAACCAGATAAATAGATTAAAATCACTAAATCCAGCGTAAAAATTTTCTAAGAAATTCTAATATCATCTTAGCCTAAGACTAATGGCTACTAACCTGAAAAAACAATAGCATAATAGATTTACTTTAATTATGATTATAGTCAATCATACCCAAAAGATCAAGAAGGATATGTTAGACCTTGGTAAGTCTATATTGAGAGAGTCTAATATGAAAAGAACTTCTTGATTTGATTATGTAACTCTTTCAAAAAAAATATTGAAAAAGTTTAAAACAAATATTCTGAAATCTAAAAAAACTCTCATCTTCATCTAACACAGTTAAAATAAATAATTTTAATCTGAATCTTAAATTGATGCCCCATAGGGGTTGAAATGCCATAAACTGATAATAAAATAATAATTCTATAGCTTATTTTATAAAATATTAATCCATACAATAATAAGTCTATGAGTTTAATTAATTTACTTAACATAATAATTTTCAATTCTTAAGAATAGAATATAATAAGATTTCAATATTTAGACACATTACCAAAAAACCTCCAGTTGCGCTAGAAAATGATGTTAAACACTTAAAACAATATTGTGCTTCTTTTGCCTAATATTAAGGAAGAGAGCAAGATAAAATGTTAAAGGATGATCCAAAAATAGGATTTTGATCGNTGAGCAAGGCTGGTAGATAAGTTTATATTCAGACCAAGTGTCAAACTATTTATGATAAAATTTTTCTGACAATAGGAGAACTATTGGTTTGCTACATTTATTAAAGTTGCAGAATAATATTCTCCTTGTTACTCAATAAAGCCCTTAGTTAATCTCTCTTATGGAAGTTTATCAAGAGCAATTGGATGAATTTCTTGGTTAAGTAAACTGGATAAAAATGTTAATATTATAGTTAGGTTATGATGATAACCATGGTTTTACCCTTAACCAGTAAGTTAGGGAAACAGTTTTAGGATCCTAAAAAATAGGAGGATAAAATTTTAAGCTAAAGAGATCAAATACTAAAGCAAAAAATAATAACTCAAAGCAAAGTAATAAATTTCAACTTCAGTTATTCAAGAAGAAAGGAAGAATCTATCTCTTAAGTCAAACTTACTTAAATCTATTATAAATAATATAATTAACCAGATAAATAGATTAAAATCACTAAATCCAGCGTAAAAATTTTCTAAGAAATTCTAATATCATCTTAGCCTAAGACTAATGGCTACTAACCTGAAAAAACAATAGCATAATAGATTTACTTTAATTATGATTATAGTCAATCATACCCAAAAGATCAAGAAGGATATGTTAGACCTTGGTAAGTCTATATTGAGAGAGTCTAATATGAAAAGAACTTCTTGATTTGATTATGTAACTCTTTCAAAAAAAATATTGAAAAAGTTTAAAACAAATATTCTGAAATCTAAAAAAACTCTCATCTTCATCTAACACAGTTAAAATAAATAATTTTAATCTGAATCTTAAATTGATGCCCCATAGGGGTTGAAATGCCATAAACTGATAATAAAATAATAATTCTATAGCTTATTTTATAAAATATTAATCCATACAATAATAAGTCTATGAGTTTAATTAATTTACTTAACATAATAATTTTCAATTCTTAAGAATAGAATATAATAAGATTTCAATATTTAGACACATTACCAAAAAACCTCCAGTTGCGCTAGAAAATGATGTTAAACACTTAAAACAATATTGTGCTTCTTTTGCCTAATATTAAGGAAGAGAGCAAGATAAAATGTTAAAGGATGATCCAAAAATAGGATTTTGATCGATCATAACATTCAAATTATGATTATTATGACTATTGACCCAGTTGACAAAGCTGAGGGAGCAAAAATGCATTAAATTAATCGGCATCAGAATCTGATTCTATCAAATCTCCTTTAGAATATGGATACTTCTTGCAACTAGTTTCTGCCAAAAAAAAAAAATACTTAAATTACTCAATACAGTTGGTAGGCAAATACTCAAAAAAGAATAAGATAATTAGAATAATGTAAGTAGTCAACTTTATAGACTATTACTAAGTCTTTGGTTAAATCATTACTCTTAACATAGCAGCAAAAAAAATGTTGTTGACCACTATGAATAATCACTCAAATTTTAATGAGTGAACGATATTAAGTATAAGAAGTCTAGTATATAAATCAAATACCTTATGTTGAATAGATGCCAAATAGAAATTAGATGTCGCTATTAGAATGTATAAATCAATTCAATTTAAGATTTATTTTCTAAATAACGAATGAAAAATATCCTTGAATTAATAAATAAGGTCATACTATAATGGATAGAATTTTAACCCAACAATTAAATTGAGTAATTAAAAATGAATAGTTGTATTATTTTTTAACAGTACTTAAAATAAAATTATGCCAATTAAATGTATAAGCCTTTTATAAGAATCTTTTGATTTATAGGAAAGTGATACATTATTATATAAGCTATTATTGATAATAATAATGATAAAAATACAAAAAGATTTGACTATTTGGCAGAAAAATTTTGAGTTTGAATTTTAAGGAAAAGAAGCATTTTTAATATCTACCCATTACCTCAACTAATGATAATTTCATTTTCAAAAAAATTGATACATATTCAGCTTTCCACATACAAAACTTTAATAAATAATAATAACAGAGTAAATCTTAAGAGCCGCAAAGATAAATTCCCATAAAATAGTTCACATAATTGATATGATTAAATTTAATAAAAAAGTAAATGAAGTCGCTTTCAAATAAACCCCATCAGGTATAAGGGCTAGAAACTAACATTATAGCCTTGCAATAGGAACCAACGATATCACAAGCTGAATTGAGAATGTTAAATCAAGATCTTTTCATGGAAAAAACGCTAAAATTAGTTAATTAATATATATTTTACCGATAAGAGTGTAGATAAGCAAAATCAAACTCCTCCCCCTATTATGTATTTCACTATCATTATTCATAATTATAGAAAAAAGCTTTACATCAACTAATTGTAGTGAAATACTTAAATGATTATTAATACCAGAAATGTATTATCTTACTGTTATTTTAACTAAAGAGAAAAATTTTTAGAGATCTAAAGAACACCTATATAAACTGTTTTTTCATTCATTTCTTGAATGAAGCCTAACTTCAGAATATTAATATTAGAAGTGTTTTTAATAAAAAATTAATCCTTTTGATATTTTATTAAGTAATTTTTAATAAGAAATGACTTTCTAAAGATATCAACTTAATAAATTAGTTTAAAGTAGAACTGATCATAATTGATTCTTCTAAAAAGTTTATTTAGCTTAGAATATAAACCAATCACCTGTCAGATCATCACCTACTATATTTTAAGTTTAATTTCTAATAACATAATTTTATCCTTAAAAATACGAACAAGGTTTTTCAAAAATCAAAAGATGAATTATTCCTAACATGAAAGAAATGAAAATAAATTATGATTAATTATTTGATTTATTGAAGAATAATAGAACTGAATTTTTGAAAATGCTTAAAATAATTGCATAATTAATCCAATTAAAAAGCGGAAGGATATTGTTTAGAAGAATAAGATAATCAATCATTTCGAGATGCTGCTTATGATAATAGCAATGCATAATTGAGCATAATTTTTAATTGATAAGAACTCGATCTGTAAGAGTTGGCAACTCTATAATAGCTTTTCTTTATTGATATTACAGAATACAATTTTTAATACAGGTTTACCTTTAACATGGTTAATAGAGATATTCTCTGAAAAATAATTAGTCAAAAATATAAATTATTAGACATTACATAAGTCCACTTACTAATTATAAGTTTATTTAATGGATGTTGAGGAAGAATAATTTAAAAAGAGGGGATTTATAAAGCGTTTAAAAAATTTAATTAATAAACTAAAAATTTATGCAATTTGATTTTGATTAATATTTGTGTCAAATTGATAATCATATTGCTAATAATCATTCAAATCTAAATTATTAATTGCACTCAAATTCATATTACAATTAAGTCTTATCAATCTTATCAAATCGATACAATAATTTTTGTTTTGGTAATACTTCAATGTTCAATTATCCGGGGTTTCTGTTTCCCTTATAACTTAAATTTATCAATTTAAGTTTATTTAATTCAATATACTTCTATTCAGAATCATTTACATAAACCAAAGCGCATTCATCATCTAACTTAACATTATAAATTTTCATCTGTTTATTTCTTACGATTATTGACGTGGGTTCACTCATTGCTTTTTCTATTAATTAATCATCCGTTATTGGTCCTACAATGTTGCAATCCTCTTCTTATATATCGAAGTAATGTTAATCATCATTTTCCAAAAGAATCTAAAATATCATTAATTTATTTTCATTAGGTTGAACTTGTATATATTAATTGTTTTGATCATTGTATGGAAAATTTACAATTACAAGATGCTTTTAGAATTTTAAATTTATTTTTAGTGTTTAATCTAGAGTGTTATTTTCAAATAGAATATATTTATACCTACCAATTTATGATTGCACACTCTATAATTAATCGTTACCATAAATTTTTTTTTTTTGCCTTTTGGAATGGCAATATATTATTTTTTATAACAAGTCTGCTTTTTCCTTTTCAGTCATCCTACTCAATTATTGAAAATATACTTGTCTATTACCATAAGATTAAATATTTAATGTGTAGTCTGTTTATTATTACCAAAAGGCTTCAATATATATTAAATATGATCCAATATCTAATTCGCATTCAATCGTTAAATCTCTCACTTGCTAATACTTACTATAAATATGCTTAAAATTTTCTTTCTTGATATCATACTCAACGATTATCATATGAAGTTGAGCATAGTAATTTTGATTAATTACCTTTTAATCTTTTTATGATATAGTTATGAAGGTGTGACATTACTGTTATATAGTCATTTACATTACTTGCTTTACTTACTGATTTTTAATGGGAATCGATATTTATTAGGTAATTTAGATGTATTTTGCATTAAAGGGAATGAAAAATATTTTATAATTCTTAAATTCATTTATATTAAGTTTAAGATTCTGTTATAAATCCAAAAAATAATTTTCTCTTTCATTCCTTTTCAGAAATAATATTTCTTTATTTTCATTCATCAAATAGAATATATTCTATAAATCTACAACATTATCTAATTTATCTTTGAACTATTACTCATCCAGCTCTAAATATGGCGCTCCTGTTATATCTCTGAGTAGTTCATTTACCATCTCAATCTATTCAAGTTTCTCATAACAACCATAGATCTTTGAAAATGCTTTTTCAATCAATTAAACCCAAAAATCATCTCCATCATAATATGAGAAGAGGGGTTTACCACTCATATTAAAAGGAAGATAATCATCAATTATAATTTCTTACCATAAACCTTATTAATTTAAAACTAACTTATATTAACAATTAATTTAAATCTATTTTGTAAGAAATATTTTTTTTAGAATGATATCTTATGATGACAAGATTCTTAAAGCGTTTAAAAACTAATCATTATTCAGTTCTCCTTTTTTTATTTACTCATATTTAAACTCCTACGTTTAATAAAATTAAATACACTGCATAAATTTTGATTTGTATTTGATTGACTTATTCGCTTCCATTAATAGTTTTTTTAAGGCTCAAATCTACGTTGATCTTTTGATAAATTTATATTAATTCTTTAGAAAGTTTCATCAGTGTATTCAGGTTGATTACAAATCAATTTTGATTTTGTAAAATGATTATTCATATACGGCTCGTCATATAATGATTAATTAGGCATCCTGATTTCTATTGAGTCTTGTTAATATACTATGCATCCCATTGGTATCAATAAAACAAAATTATAATTGTTATTCTTAATACAAATATAAAAAAAATTGGATTAGAGTTTTTCTTTAATGTAAGATCAGCTTAGAAATTAAGTAATTTGTTGTAATAGAGAAATAATTATAAATTTGAAAAGCCATCTGCAAAATTTTACAATCTTAACACTTTATATCCTGAAATATTGAACGTACAAGGGTATCAAAAATAGAACACAAAAAAATTTAATTTAGAAAGACACTGTTAAAAAAATCGAAAAATTTAGTTTTAAAGGAAAGCCAGAAGATGATTTCAAATTTAAGTTATTATTACACAAATCAAAGTGACTAATAAATTCAAAAAAAAAATTTATTTATCATTATAATATAATTATTGTGTCTAATATGCTTAGAAATTATTAAATTCAATTTTTCTTTTTTGCGTTGTCATTTTTTTTGCTTTCTTTTTAAAAAATCTTGAAGTAGAAGCAAATTAATTTTGCTTATTTTAAAATATGCTCAAATAGAATTTTAAGTGAGATAAATGCTTAAATTTCATTTGAAATAATGCAGATTTTCAATTAATTTACCATCTTCATGATAGAAATCATATCAACTGATACTATTTCATTTTTTAAATCACTATAATGAAAATGATCAAATAAGGTTCTTTAAGTGTTTTTTAATTCATATAGAAATACTTATTTTCTAACAAAAAAAATAAATGTTGAAAACATGTTTTAATTAACTTATCCCTTCATTTACTATTTCATTTTTCATTTCTTACCTTAATCGCGATTTGATAATATTAAATTTTGATTCATGAAAATTTATTCAATCCTAAGAAGGCAAATTATGAAAACTAATTTTTTTACTTAATACAAATGAAATTTGTAATCAAATTGAATATCATCTTGAAAAAGTGAATGAATTATAATTCTATTCGAAATTTTTCTAAATTAACTACTATTGTTTATAAATAAAGAAAGTGTTCATAAAAGTATACACAAAAAAATCTTTAAAACCTACTTTACATGTATATTTAAATTAAAAACTATCCATAATTTCACATATTTTATGATCTACTTATGCAGAACTACATGAGCAATATCTTTTATGTACTTATTTCTTGAAAAACAAGAAAAAGATAAAAACTTTCAAAATATCTAAATGGAATAGGCTTAGAAAAGCTTATTTAGAAGCCAGAAGATAGAAATTGCATGATGAAAGAATTCATTATATATTCAAATCACAAAGAATAATACTGATAAATTTAAACTATGAAATAGTGCATTTTGATAATCAATAAAGTTAGGCTTATTTATTAAACAGGATTATTATGATTCCTTTAACTGTCGATCACTTTTACTTCAGCATGTTTTTATAAAAATTATAGAGAAATAAACTCAATGTTTTTTCTTTTTCTTTCATTTTCGATACTGCAGTCAAAATAATTCTGGAAAAATATGCAAAAAAATACTATTTGGTACACAAGTTATTTTTGTTTATTTTTTTTGTATATTGTTTTTTTATCTGTTTGACAAATATTAGAAGATCCTTAGATACCTTATTCAAATTACCTGATACATAAATTTTGGGTATCATTAACAATCATTTAAGATTGTTAAAACTCATAAAGATGTATTTCTAATAGAGTTCAAAATCTTTAAAAATTTTATAAGGACTGTAAATTCAAAGAAAGATTTTTTTTTCTATTTTACCTAGTGTTTTTTTCAAAACTTTATATAAAATCTTAAAATTTTTGTTATTTATTTTCCAAATTTCACTTTATTTTATTTTCTTTTTTTAATTTTCTTTTGAATCATGAACGAAGGAAGAATAAAATATGACATATTGATATTCTAATAATTAAGAATCTCCATCTTGTATAGGAAATTCAATGTTTAACTCACCTTATAATGTTCTAATATCATTCACTTGCTTACTATACTTGCCTACTAGCAAATATTGCGATTGTATATATGATAAATGGAAAAAAAAGAATCGAACAATCACAACAACCAAATAATCTTTTAAGTATTTGGTATGCTGTTTTCTTGTATTATTCTTTTCATAAACTTGCATTTATTTACTTATCTATATTAAGAAGTGAAGATGAAGAGCTGAACTGATAAAGGCATAATTAAAAATTATTAGTAATCGATGTTTTTATAATTGTAACTTTTTATAATAATCAAATTTCGTTTTACTCAAAGTCTCCTAAAATGCAACTTCCTGAGAATTTGAATAATGATCTTAAATCGTATCCGTAATAATTCACAAAATCTCCTTTAAAAATTAAAGCTTGTTATGCTTAAAATAATGGTGTTTCAGATATTCGTAGAATTGTTATATTATTGGGTACTATAAAAATAATAATTAAATAAGTACATGAGGGAAGATTGTCTTAAAATAAGGGTGCATGAATTTAGGTAAGAATTTCCTTAAATGTATTGTTATTTGGTAAAAATTATTTTCTATTCTAAACATCCCATAATCGAATTGACTTATCATAACTACCTGATGCTAATGTATTTCCATCAGGAGAGAAACAAACTGACAAGATTCCATGAGTGTGACCATTCAATTTGGCTTTTTATTGTTCTGTTTTAACATCCCAAAGATAGATCGACATATCTTAACTACCAGAAGCTAATGTATTTCCATCAGGAGAGAAACAGACTGAGTAGACAGTATCATTATGACCATCCAATTAGGCTTAAAATTATCCTGTTTTGACATCCCATAGACGGATAGACATGTCACCACTACCAGACGCTAATGTATTTCCGTCAGGAGAGAAACAGACTGAGTTTACATAATCACTATGACCATCTAATTTGGCTTTTTATTATCCTGTTTTGACATCCCATAGGCGGATAGATTTATCATAACTACCAGAAGCTAATATATTTCCATCAGGAGAAAAACAGATTGAGTAGACATAATGAGTATGACCGTCTAATTTGGCTTTTTATTATCCTGTTTTTACATCCCATAGACGGATAGAGTTATCTATACTACCAGAAGCTAATGTAATTCCATCAGGAGAGAAACATACTGATCTAACTGTATAACTATGACCATCCAATTAGGATTTAAATTATCCTGTTTTGACATCCCAAAGACGTATAGACATGTCACCACTACCAGACGCTAATGTATTTCCGTCAGGAGAGAAACAGACTGAGTTTACATAATCACTATGACCATCTAATTTGGCTTTTTATTATCCTGTTTTGACATCCCATAGGCGGATAGATTTATCATAACTACCAGAAGCTAATATATTTCCATCAGGAGAAAAACAGATTGAGTAGACATAATGAGTATGACCGTCTAATTTGGCTTTTTATTATCCTGTTTTTACATCCCATAGACGGATAGAGTTATCTATACTACCAGAAGCTAATGTAATTCCATCAGGAGAGAAACATACTGATCTAACTGTATAACTATGACCATCCAATTAGGATTTAAATTATCCTGTTTTGACATCCCAAAGACGTATAGACATGTCACCACTACCAGACGCTAATGTATTTCCGTCAGGAGAGAAACAGACTGAGTTTACATAATCACTATGACCATCTAATTTGGCTTTTTATTATCCTGTTTTGACATCCCAAAGACGTATAGACATGTCATCACTACCAGACGCTAATGTATTTCCATCGGAAGAGTAACAGACTGATAGAACATAACTAGAGGGACCATTCTATTTGGCTGTTTATTATGCTGTTTTGACATCCCATAGACGAATAGACTTATCATAACTACCAGAAGCTAATGTATTTCCGTCATGAGAGAAACAGACTGAGTAAACAGTACCATTATGACCATCCAATTTGGCTTTTTATTATCCTGTTTTGAAATCCCAAAGACGGATAGAGACATCTTCACTACCAGAAACTAATGTATTTCCATCAGGAGAGAAACAGATTGAGTAGACAGTATTAGTATGACCATCCAATTAGGCTTTAAATTATCCTGTTTTTACATCCCAAAGACGGATAGACTTGTCACCACAACCAGAAGCTAATGTATTTCCATCAGGAGAGAAACAGACTGAGTTGATACAATTTCTATGGCCATCCAATTTTGCAAATTTCTACTTTGTTTTCACATCCCAAAGACAGATAGATTTATCTTAACTGCCAGAAGCTAAAATATTTCCATCAGGAGAAAAGCTTACAGATTAGACTGATCCATTATGACCATCTAATTTGGCTATTTACTACCCAGTTTTGACATCCAAAAGACGGATAGAATTATCATAATTACCAGTGGCTAACATATTTCCATCAGGTGAGAAACATACTTACATTACCATTTTACTATTAACATCGAAAATGGCTTTCAATTTTCCTGTTTTAACATCCCATAGACGAGTAGAGTAATCATAACTACTAGAAGCTATTGTATCTCCATCAGGTGAGAAACAGACTGACAAGACAGTTCGACTATGACCTTCCAATTTGGCTTTCAATTCGCCTGTTTTGACATCCCATAGACAGATGGAGTTATCAATGCTTTTATACATAGGATTTCCGCTACAAGTTGCTAATGTAGTCCCATCAGGAGAGAAGCAGACTGAATTCACGCTATCATCATGACCATCTAATTTATTCAATTCATGGATCTTAATATTCTTCCATTTACAATTCAACAGAAATGTTCCATTCAGATTCATACTGCTTATATTTACATTATTAAATTCTGATCCACTTAAATTGCATTGAACCAAATTTGCGCCTACTAATGAAGTATTTTCTATCTTAATATTTTCGAAATTTTGATGTCTAAGGTCCGCCTTCATCTAAACTAATAAATGTAATGAATTAGACCCACATTATATTAGAGTTTTATCGATAGATGTAAGGTGAACTAAAAATTCTATACTCTAACTCTTACACTTGATGCTGTTAATTAGTCTTAATGTAGATTTTTCATTTTCTTCAGAAGAGAAATCTTTCTTATTGAAGTCATGATCTTTTAATTTTCTTAAGACATCTGTAATTTATTTCATGTCATTTCTAATTACAGACAATTTCTATTCTGTATCAGCTTGAGTGAAATTCCCGACTTGTTGTAAAATTTATGATTCTAATTGTTTCTGATTCCCAATATCTGAAAGATATCCAAGGCAATCTTAAACTTTCTCCTTTTTAAATATTTCTATTATGACCCCAAAGATTTGTATATCTACATCTTTTAGTTAATCAAAGATGTCAGCTAAAGCTTCCTTCTCTTAAAAAGAACCCTGCATTTTTGTTGTTATTTTTAATAATGATTTTTTATTAATCTAACTTTAAGTTTTAAAGTGCAAAAATATATTAGAGTATCTTTAGCATTTTTGTATATATGAAGTTCAGATATTGTGCATAATTGGTATTAACAATAAAAGGTGTAGAATATTCTACAGAGAAATCATTTAAAATTTTTCATATCCTGATTCTTGAATAATATAGAATATCTGAATTTTTTAAGATAATATATATTGATACATAATTTGAGTTCTAAGATTGATTGATTCATACTTCTTTTTCATCATCTCTTTATTTGAGAATGATTAAGGATTTCGGTTTAT